ATGCGGCGTTGCACTCGAGGTATGGCGCCCGCATGTAGGTCGGAATCCAACCAAAGAGATTTCGGAATGCCATCTCATTGTAGATCATCTCAGATCTTCGGATAGTGCTGTTGACCTCGTTGAGATTGCGATGAGTCCAAGTGTGGCTGGCAATGTGATGGCCTGCAGAGTACATGCGTCTCATCACAGCGGGCCATGGGTTGGACGAGTCATCAATATGTCCCTTGGCCCTGTTGTTACCGGCCACAAAGAAAGTGGCATGGACATCTCTTTCATCCAAGAGATCCAAGAGGTCATTGGTGTAGTCGAGAGGGCCATCATCGAATGTGAGAGCAATCACACCGGGTGTAGTGCAAGTTGTGATGACAGAGCCTATTTCTGCTGTAAGCATCTTATAATGCATACGGCCATTAGAGTTGATGCAAAGACATACCGTACGGGACATTGCCAAGCTGTGGTCGAGAAATGCCTTCCGTGCTGCTTCCACGAGGCCCGAAACTGGTCTCCATGTCAGCGTCATGTCCGTTACTGCAGTACGAGGACTTGGACGATACAAGATCTTGTCTGTGATTCCCAAGCTTCAGATAGCACTTACAAAGTATCACACGAATCGCTGTACTCGAGCTGGCAAGCAGAACCACCACAAAAGTCTCCGGTTGTTCCGCAGAAGCCACTTCCTGAACAGCAGGATCCGGGATTGCATGAACCAATCCCAAGACCACACTCGGCACGTTTCCTCAACTTCGAATTGCGCAATGACAAAAGATCATCGGCTGCAAAGACTGGTCCAGACAGAGCAGTCCCTGCATGGAGCAGCAGGGAAGCAAGGGTGACCGGAAGGCTGGCTTTCATTTTGAACGATAGTGATGAAACGGAAGCAATATACTTGGAACGAAGGAAGGGGAAATGATGAGTTGAACGAGTGGCAATGCGAGCGGCCGATGGGTAGTTGTATGAAGCTTCGAGAGAGTTTATCTACGTGGGGCACGCGTAACTGCAGCTCCTGAGCGAGGTAAACATCCAACTTGAAATTAAGATGGTTTGGACGCCCAAATTCTGCACCTTGAACACGAGAGACCGTCAGCCGAGTTGAATGTACTGACCCGGCAGCCTAGGCCTCATACCAGGTCACCTAATGGTCAACGAGGATCCACGTTGAGATCAATATAAGCCATCCCCAACAAGCCAGCCATCATCAGGTGAGGCCACTGTCTCTGATTTATTGCTTTCTTTTCGGGCAATTGCATGTCGATGGTGCTCTGATTTTGACAATGTGAATGATATGCGACTTGCAGATATTGACCCATTGATGCCACACCAGGCAGCAAGACTTGATTGCTTCTTCAGCTTTCAATATTCTCATCGACAGTAATGTTGATGAGTTGGCTCTTGATTGTGATGATTCGCTGGCAATAACTGGCAATGTCCAGGATCTGCTATCAGCCTCAAGGCCATGGAGGAAAGTTTCCCCAGACACCCAAAAACGCGAGTCACCTGCAGCTATCCTTGCTTTTGCAGCGTCCTCCAGTCGGATTATCCGAGTTTTTCTTGGCGCATACACTCGTATTCGTCCCATTTAAATGTCTCTTGTGTATCGTTACACAAGGTCCAGAATAGTTCAGAAGGTTGGCTGCCGATTTGAAGACGCTTGTTTGTTGGCATCCTTGTCGTGATAAAAATATGAACCACCACCGGGACACGAAACAGGGACAGTAAGCTTAATGCCCGTCGGGAAGAAACTGACGTGTTCCGTTTGCTTGTGTAACGTCATTCAGCTCGACTCCAACAAGCCATGTCAACATCCCAGGCGAGATAGCCCTGCCAGGTTCAAGGCTGTTCCGTTTTCCGCTGTCGGGTTGATGTGAAGTTTCTGACACCACACAGAAGATCTATTCCTAATATTGTCCTTCACCGTGTCACAGTGAATTACTGCCAGCATCTCATATGCAATCGTCCTCAAGAGAGCGAAGTTGACCCCCCAAACGCATTAAATAATCTCATGAAAACTTGGGAAGCCGTCTTGGCATCGGGGACGATACTCAACAGCCCGTAAGCTTGAGTTGAGGCTTCATCCCCTGGTTCCTCAATCATATTCTCAACGCAAAACTTCAGCAAAGTCGATCCATCAAGAATGCGTACCAGCCATTGGGCCAACAAATTGTTCAATAGATCAATCACAGCCCAGTATGCTGACATATCCTTCCTTGAAATGTATCGCGAAATGGAGTAACAAGTTGACTGATCTTCAACCTCGACATACCCTCGTCATCCTGTACAACAATTTGACTGAGCTAGGATGTTAATTCAGGCACGTCAGCTGAAATGGATGCCGTGCTTCCAGGCTAGTTGACTCCTGCATAGGATACAGGGGATTAACCAAGGCATCGGTGAGGCTGTATTGGTCCTCGCAAGTTTCCTCGAGTTGGGATAGCGGAGTGGCTGTTGCTAGTTTCAGTCTTTGTGACTTGAAAATCACATCTTGGTTGGTGCAAAGATCTTGCGTGGCCAGATGCATTTGTGCGGCAAGCTATTCAGGGGCAGTTCATGTCATAGGCCAAGTTTCCACTTGAGGCTCGGAGTATCGTGTAAAAAAGCTCCGGTTACTGAGGCCTGACGCCGCACGGTATAGCCGTTGAATTGGAACGGAAAGGAAAAGTTCTCGATTCATCGGTCGCATTGTGAAGCCGGAAGCGTAGATGGATCGCTCGATACGAGCCCATAGTCGTCCTTGATGATACATATGCTCCCGCCGAACCCCAATGATTTCTCTGCAAACTTTCCCACTTCACCCCATTCACTCGTTAATTGTCGATCGTTACCATCATGGCTCAAGTTCTTGCCGAGAGCCTCCTTGTTCAGGGGCTTCCTTTTGTTAGTCATGAGCCAGAAACCAAGTCGTGGAATATTTCCAGTCGAGAATACTACGACATCACTCCTCCAAGTGAAATTTCAGAGGCAGAAGATGTCTTCAACGTGGTTTCTAAGCCCATTGATGCAAATGCCGAGCCGCTCGTGGCTGTCATAGGGGTTGGCTATGTTGGCGAGCATCTAGTCGACGTTTTCTCCAAGACTCACGATGTGCTTGGATATGATGTATCAGAAGCTCGAACTCAACAGTTGACTCAGAAGCAACCTATCGGTAGTCGTGCCAAGTTCACGTGCAAGTCTTCAGATCTTGCTGAAGTCACCCACTTTCTCATCTCAGTACCGACTCTTCTGATTGATCACAAAACGATCGACTCTTCATACCTCCGGAGTGCTCTGAGCGTGGTCAAGCTCTACGGTCGTCAAGGCGCTGTGGTAGTCGTGGAAAGTTCGGTGGCAGTGGGAATGACGCGCGCTCTTCTTGGCCCTCTCGCAAAAGAGCGACGGTTCTTCGCGGGCATGTCTCCTGAACGTGTTGACCCTGGTCGCACCGAACCACCAGCTCACTCCATACCAAAGATCGTGTCGGGACTTGACGACGTGGTCCCAGGGTCGCTCGATGCTATCATGAGGCTCTACTCGAAGAGTTTTGATCACGTTGTGCCAGTGTCGAAGCCAGAAGTGGCCGAGATGATGAAGCTGTACGAGAATTGTCAGCGCATGGTTTGCATCGCCTACGCCAACGAGATGGCGGATGCTTGTGGTGCCCATGACATCGATCCGTATGAAGTTTGTCGTGCAGCTGCCACCAAACCATTTGGCTACCTCCCATTCTCACCAGGCCTTGGTGTTGGCGGCCATTGCATTCCAGTCAATCCATGGTATTTGCTTTCCAACAGCAAATTCCCTCTCCTGCGGGCAGCGTCCGAGAAGATGCGCGACCGTCCTTCTGAAATTGCGCAACGCGCTGTAACGCGTCTCTACAGCGTTGAAAGGAACGGCCAGCGACCACGCGTCCTTGTGGTTGGCATTGGCTTCAAGCGTGGGCAGTCGCATCTTGCCAATTCCCCTGGTCTCGAATTGGCGAGACGTTTGGTCGAAACAAGCAAGGTCGATGTTGTTTGGGCTGATCCTCTCGTGTCGCAAAACGCTGTTCCTCAGATCCCGAGACTCGGTGAAGCCGAATGGACTGTTGAGGCTCTTGAAAGAGACTTTGACATGATTATCGTCGCTTTTCGTCAAGTAGGTCTCGATTTTGACGTATTGGAAAGTGTTCAAGGAGTCGTCGTGGAGCGTTGGTGTCCTTGAAGAACAATAAGATTGCCTCGATTGGTCGGGGCAGGGAGCCATCCAAAAGGAAATGGAACAAGCAGCGTAAACGACCCACACAAACTGCTTGCTCTCTTTCGTTACTATTTATTCAAATGGAGGGCATTTCGTATGTACTTAGGTATTTTATCCTTATTTAACCTTGGTTACGCAGGGTTTGGTTAATATGCAGTAATATATTTCATCCCCTGTAGGGTAGCTCATTACATTGTCCCGTGTTCAGCCATAAATGCTACTAAGTTCTGTCTGCCGGAGTAAGCTCTCAGTCACAAGTCTCAACTGCAGATAACACATCTCACAACTTACTGTGATAAACGTGACAAACTATCTGGCCTAAGGTTAGGGTTTTAAAAGAGGCTTCAGTCCCCAGGGCACAAAGGTAAGGGACACCAATAAACACATACGGGCAAAATACTCTTTGCCCTCACTACCACCTAGGATTTTGCTTTTGGCTAAAAAGTTAGATGCGACAAACTATCAGAACGCGGAATATGGCGAACTGTAGAATCTTAATTAAAACATGCCTACTTTCCGAGAAAGCCCAGGTACTGTCATCATGCTGAGGTGCCATGCTTCGCTCCTCCCAAGCGTGAATATCCTCAGATTCTCTACGTTAACTGCTTCTTGCCTGGCGCTTGACACAACCAAAGAGTAAAGGAAGGCACTTTCATGCATTTCGACTTTTACCGACAATCGGTCTGGGATGATCTTCTCCATCACAATCTTCATCACAACCACAATCATTAATTCATCATAATAACCACAGCTCTACCTAATTACACAGTATCACCATCTTCTTATCAACCATGAGTTCACCAGTCCCCATGCCAACAGCTCGCCAAGGTACGTATGCGTTTTCGGGAAATGGAAGTCTGGAGACTAATAGAAGCCAGCGGAGCTGCTTGACCGGTTCAGGGAATATATCCATCTCGAGCGCGAGGGCCATCCGATCGAAGCATTGAGGGCGGCCGTAGCACTAGTCAGGGAGGAAGGCCTCAATCCCTACCATGCCGCAGAATTACACTTGAAACTGGCCTATATCCCCGAAATGGGACTTGACCATGCCTCAGAGAGCGTCAAGATTTTCACAAAGCTGAAAGAAACCGATGGCAGTCGAGACATTAGGTGGAAGTTGCAGGAGGCAGAAAACGCCATGCAAGAAGCGCAAACGATTGAGAAGGCTTGGTCGAAGCGTCTGAATACAATGTAATACTTACCCTGGATTTCTTTACCACTTTGACCTATCGCTTGAGTTAACTCCCACGGATGCCTGCTTTCTACCTCAACTGCGATATTTCTCCACCAAGTCTAATTGCTACTTGGTGCTCCATTAGTAAACGTCACTGACAATCTTTTATAGGACACCGGAAACCAGAGAGGCGGCTGTAGCAAACCGTTACAATGATTACTTTTCCAAGCATGAAAGAGATGAGTTATCCTCCAGGGAAACTGAAACAGAGAAGCCGTGCCCTCTTGAATTTGAGTACCCAGCCAAAAAGGGGAGGACCGCCGATTCGGGTGGCGAGAAGGAGGAGAAAGAGAAAAAAAAAGTTGGAAGAGTATGAAGAAGCACGGAAGTTTTTTGCTTCGTGATGGGCCCCATCTCATGCTAGGACTTGGTGTATTGTGTATACTTGACCTTGACTAGGTATCATGCGTTATGGGAGAGAGGGGACTCAAAGGAGTATAGCGTAAACAAAGCGTAGGACAGCACCGAAAACGAGACCAGGTTTATGGTGCAAATGAAAGATATTGCTTCCACGATGTCTTAGCAGCTGTGTCTTTGTCGTCCCCATGTTATCTCCGGCCAAGATCAAGAATTGCCTGAATCGTGCTTGAGGCGTCAATTTGAGCCTTATGATTGGTTTGGCTTTGGAGTCTAGACCACCTTGACCCTGGCTCGCATCCTTGTCTGCTAGCCATGACCGTCGAGTCAGAAGTCGGGGATGTGAGTTCTACGTCTTCGAGACTCTCCAACCGTCACGTAAAGACCCATAATGATGAAGGAAGTTGTTAATTCATTGTTGACTTGTTGTTTGCACTACATTTTTCAAGGAAGGGGCCTTGCGTTGTAGCATTCACGAAATATTCGGCGAAGATTAGATCATGCAAAATCGTAGTCTCATTCGCTTATCTCTTCAAATTACTTCTATGTTAATCACCCAATTAAATCCTCTGTAAACTCTAAAACTTGGGCATATCATACAAGTCCTCAGGATCTGTCACTTGTTAGCGCTGAACTTTTGTGCATGGGGTTTACTTACCTTTGCCCTCGTCCTGAATGTACTTTTTAATCTCCGCAACTCTGTCATCAATCTTCTTGAGCGTCTCGTCAAGCTTGGCCTTGATCTTGTCGTTTGTCTCAGCAGCACCCTTGAGCGCACGCTTAGCGACGTCGAATCGGCTGACCCAGTTGAGGAGCATCATGTCGAATGGTGTAGTGGTGCTACCCTCCTCCTTGTAACCCTCCACTGTCATGCGGTGCAGACCAGGGCGTCCAAAGAGAAGGCCCTGGAGCTCAGCGGAGTATCCGTGGTAGTTGAAGCACACGGCCTTGTCCTCCGTGAACATATCAAGGAAGTCAGCTCGGCTGAGTGCGTGTGGATGACGGGATTCAGCGGCCAGAACCATGAGATCCGTAACGTTGACGACTCGGACTCGAAGCTCGGGAATCCAGGCGCGAAGAATCTCAGCAGCCTTGACAACCTCGAAGGTAACCTCAACACCAATACCGGCGATCACAACATCGGGCTCCTTGCCGCTGTCAATTGAGGCGAACTCCCAAATGCTTGCACCCTTTCGGCAATGTTCAGCTGCCTCATCAGGAGACAAGAAGACACCAGTAGGTTGCTTTGAGCCGATCATAAGGTTGACGTAGTTCTTGGATTTCAGACAATGGTGGATGGTGCTCAGGAAGCAGTTGGCATCAGGGGGAAGATACACGCGTGCCGCCTCCGCCTTCAGATTGAGAACAGAGCCGATAAAGGATGGGTTCTGATGAGAAAAGCCGTTGTGTTCTTGGCGGGCCCAAGTGCTGGTTTCGATGTAGTTGATTGAGCTGAGATCGCCCCGCCAGTTGGTCTCTCGCGCGATCTTGTTAAACTTGGAGTACTGCACCATCATGGTATGGATGATGCCGAGGAAGGACTCGTAACTGGGAAAGAGCGCGGTACGGCCGGTGAGAGTGTAGCCCTAGTAACAGTTAGTGGTAAGCGTTGATGTGAATATTGAAAACTTGCCTGCATCCAGCCTTGACAGCAATGCTCGGAGAGGATCTCAATAACTCTGCCGCCCTGTGCGCGAGAGAACTCATCCCACTGGAAGTTTCGGCCTGTGTTCTGAAATACCGCGCTAAGCTTGTTGCTCTCCAGTTCATCGGGAGAGAAAATACGGAAGCTCTTGGGGTTCTCCTTGATGACTTGGTTCAGGAAATCGCCAGTCTGCTTCATGCAGCTGTTTTGCGAAGCCTTCTCCACCGCAAAGCTCTTCCAGTCAGGAACCTGCAGTTGTTGATAAGGGTCGTATGTCTTCTTGAGCTGTCCAAGTCGCTTTTTATCCTTCTGAGGAATGATCTCCAGGATACTGTCAGCGGGCTTTCCGTCCTTGAGCAAGTGTGCTGTATCGTATGTCTTGAGCCAGTCTTGCAGAATCTTAAGGTGCTCCGCATCCTTGCTGGCGTTGGGGACAGGGATCTGGTGAGAGTGAAAAGAGCCCTCAATGAACTCGCCGTCCACCTTCTTGGGACCTGTCCAGCCCTTGGGTGTTCGAAGAACAATCATGGGCCATCGTGGCTTGATAATGGGCTTTCCATCTCGGGCTGCCTTTTGGATCTTCTTGATCTCACTGACAGCCCACTCCAAAGCACCCGAGAGTTCGCTGTCGATCTCTTCAAGAGTCTCCACGATGGTTGGCTGGTATCCATAGCCGGCGAACAAACTGGATAGTTCCTTGTTGTCCATGCATCCATAAATGGTTCTCTCACTGATCTTGAAGCCATTCACATGCAGAATGGGAATAACAGCTCCAGACTCGGCGGGATCAATGTACTTGATGGAGTGCCAAGCACTAAACAGTTAGTGAATGCCACAAAAAGACGCAAACGACTTACGCTGCGGTAGGACCACTCTCGGCTTCACCATCTCCAACAAGACAAGTGACAATCAAGTCTGGGTTGTCCATGACGGCACCAAATGAAACAGCTAGGGAGTAGCCTAGCTCACCACCCTCGTGGATGGACCCCGGAGTTTCGGAATTGATGTGACTGAATTGGTTAGTTTAATCCTATCTTGACAACCGAGACTTGTCTCACCTAGGAAAGCCTCCAGGAACCGAGAATCCGGTAATAAGGTTGCGCAAGCCGTCCTTGCTAACACCGTACTTTTGGGGGAAGAATCGCTCGAGAGATCCCTCCAACCATAGCGAGGCCAAAGCAGCAGGAGCACCATGGCCAGGCCCGATAACAAAGATCACTTCCAGATCATGATTGCGGATGAGGAGGTTGAGATGTGACCATACGAGGATAATGCCTGGACATGTTCCCCAGTGACCTTTGAAACATTAGCTAGGCACCAAAGTGAGCCATGCTTACATACCCAATAATCGCGGCTTGATATCTTGTGCCGTCAAGTCTCTCTCAAGTAAGACATTGTCTTTGACGAAGATCATGGCTGTCTTGGCGTTAGCCAAATGCGCCGCACTAATTGACCTCACTTACACCCTGCAATATAGCATGCCGCATGCTGGAAATCATTGAGCGATTGGGCGATCTTCTTGTCCAACTGCTTCTTGGGCGCCTTGAGTGCCAATTCCAGAGCCACATCTGGAAGATGGCTGTCCAGCGGAGCCGGGTTAGGGCGATCAATCACTTCACCAGGCATCTTGCGTTTTGAGATCTCAAATTTGGAGTTGATGGTAAGCTGAACGGAGATTCACAAAACCGAGAAAGGGAAGAGAAATGTCGGTCACATAAGGTGTGAGATTACATCGGTTGAAGAATCGGCACTTTTTTTTACTACACTGATTTCACTCAGACTGTTTGATAGTGACGCGGTTTCAAGCAGGGAATGATGCTATGTCGATGACGTACATTGACGTCGCTTTGACAACTGCCCCACGTAACAACTTGGATATCTGTCAAGCAGCATATGCATATCAGTAACGGATATGTCGGATATTGAAAGGAGATAAATGTTGAAGATTTTGTAAACTTTAAATTCTGAATGAGGCTTTTGACTTGCATGCACGGAAATATTGAAAATCGATCCGGCTATATGGGATTGTCTTGCTTGTTGATATTCCGTTGAAGATCGATATAACCCGCCTTCTCGAAGATCCATTGAAAGACAACAATCCCTGCTAAATCCAGAATTGTAGCGGTCATCGAGCCTCAAGATTCCACATCAATTCTCCATTACAAACCAAACTCGGCCATTTGTTGAGTTGTTTCAATGGCAGGTCAGGCAAGTGCCAGACAGATACGGAAAGTGGGGGATACAAAAACCGGAGCTTTCTTTCCTGGTGTAACAGTAAAAGCACCTCCTTCCCAAACACGGATCACGATCGCATCAGAAAGTGCATTCCGTGTTTCCTCGTTGGAAATTCTGAGCTTCTCATAGGTCAATCGTGCTTGTACCTGACGAAACATGACGACTTTTCTCAACAAGTCGTCCCATCGCAGCTGCCATTTTGCCCAGGCCGCGGGGAAAGATGAATCGACAAACGCATGTGTGACGTAAATCCAACGTGCTCTGGAGTCGCGGCAGCTTATGGGTACGGTGATCTCAAAATATTACAAAAAGATCTCGAAACCCGGAATCCTTCGAGTCTAATCTTCAGCGAATTATTCTTTGTTTACTCAGGAATAAAGACCACGATTCGACATGACCGAGCAAGTTACTGGAGCTATCAAACACGCAGTCATGGGACACCGAAACGACAAGATCGATCAGCTCAAGGCCAACATTGTTGAGCCCAGCGAGAACACTCGAATCACTTCCGACTATGGAGTGAAGCAGAACAACACCGATCAATGGCTACGCGTCAACAGCGAGGACCAAACTGGTCCCAGTCTTCTCGAGGATGCTTTTGGACGGGAGAAGGTATGCCAGACCCCAAAGCTGGAGCGGCTTTAATGCTTTCCACTTTGTCCCTCTCGAATATTAACAGTGTGTTAAGATCCATCGCTTCGACCATGAGCGCATCCCCGAACGTGTTGTCCATGCCCGCGGTGCTGGTGCTCACGGCACTTTCAAGCTGTTCGAGTCCGCGGAAGATGTCACAAAGGCCGGCATATTCACCGACACCTCGAGAGAAACACCTGTCTTTGTCCGATTCTCGACCGTTTTGGGAAGTCGCGGCTCCGCAGACACTGTTCGTGATGTCCGCGGATTCGCCGTCAAATTTTACACACAAGAGGTTCGTGAATCCCCTCAACACCAGAACAACAACAACCCAACATCATCACAACTAAATTTGGATCCAATCTAACGCTCTTTCCTCAAGGGCAATTTTGATTTAGTAGGGAACAACATACCTGTTTTCTTTATTCAGGATGCAATGAAGTTTCCCGATGTCATCCATGCAGGAAAGCCTGAGCCGCACAATGAGGTTCCTCAAGCACAGTCCGCGCACAATAATTTCTGGGATTTCGTCTGGGGACACTCAGAAGCGACTCATATGTACATGTGGGCGATGTCCGACCGCGCAATTCCTAGATCCTACCGCATGATGCAAGGTTTCGGCGTCAACACCTATACTCTCATCAACGACAAGGGCGAGCGTCGATTCGTCAAGTTCCACTTTACACCTGAGCTCGGAGTCCACTCCCTGGTTTGGGATGAAGCTCTTAAGCTTGCTGGCCAGGACCCTGACTTCCACCGCAAAGATCTCCAGGAGGCCATCGAAAACGGCGCGTACCCGAAGTGGAAGTTCGGCATCCAGGTGTTGGAGGAATCCCAAGAGCACGATTTCGACTTCGATATCCTTGACGCTACTAAGGTCTGGCCGGAAGACCAGATTCCCGTCCGCTATATCGGAGAGCTGGAGCTTAACCGCGTCGTCGATGAATACTTCACCGAGACCGAGCAGGTCGCGTTCTGTACCAGCCATCTTGTGCCTGGTGTTGGCCCGTCAGACGATCCTCTGCTCCAGGGCCGAAACTTCTCTTACCAGGATACCCAGCTCAGCCGTTTGGGTACCAACTGGGAGGAGCTACCTATCAACAAACCTGTTTGCCCAGTTATGAACTTCAACCGCGATGGTGCCATGCGACACACTATCACCAAGGGCAAAGTCAACTACTGGCCTAACCGATACAGCCACCAGCCCCCTGCTACCGTCCAGGAGGGTGCCTACGTTGACTACCAGCAAAAGGTTGCCGGCATCAAGCAGCGGGCCCTCAGCAAGAAGTTCAAGGATCACTTCTCTCAGGCTCAGCTCTTCTACAACTCTCTTTCTGAGATTGAGAAGGCTCACATCCAGGCCGCCTTCTCTTTCGAGTTGGACCATTGCGATGAAGCTATCGTCTACGAACGCCTGACTGAGCGTCTCGGTGTAGTTGATGGCGAGCTTGCAAACACGATCGCTGAAATGGTCGGCGGCAAGAAGCCCGTCGAGGCCAAGCCGAATCCCGGAAAGAAGGCCAAGAACTTGAGCCAGATGGACTTCCTTCCCAAGACTCCGACTATCAAGTCGCGCCGTATTGCCATCATCATCGCTGATGGCTACGATCCTGTCGCTTTTAACGCTCTTTACGGCGCTATCAAGGCTCAGAGTGCTCTTCCTTTCGTTATCGCACCTCGCCGATCTGCTATCTTCTCCGCCAACGAGGATTCATCCTCATCCAAGGGTATTGTCCCTGACCACCACCTCGAAGGTCAGCGAAGCACCATGTTTGACGCTATCTTTGTCCCTGGCGGTGAAAAGTCTATTCAGACCCTTTCCAAGAACGGTCGAGCTCTTCACTACATTCGCGAGGCTTTCGGTCACTTGAAGGCGATTGGTGGTACTGGTGAGGCCGTTGATCTGATCAACAAGGCCATCCAACTTCCTGAAGTCTCACTCTCCGAGACAGATGGCAGTGGCGTCGTCGACAGCTATGGCGTTGTGACTCTGAAGAATGCTTCGCCTGACAGCCTCAAGGAGATTGTCACCGTTGCTTCCGATGCCAAGGGCTTCCTGGAGAAGTTCGTGTACAACATCAGCCAGCACCGTAACTGGCAGCGAGAGCTGGATGGATTGAGCACTATGGTGGCGTACTAATGATTTATTGAAAGATACCAACTTATGTAACGAGCCAATTTGAATCTTCAAGTCAATACATTAATCGCATGAATTCTTACTTAAGCTGTGACAAACTCGAATTTATGAAGTTGAGATGCATTGTGTTGCCCAATATCACCAGCGAATACGTGTCTCAAGCCCACGGTAGTTAAACTACCTTTTCACATATCCAATCCTTCTGGGCCCGAAATACTGAGTCTGCCCGATTATACGATGAGCCCCGGATCTCAGTACTCCCCATCCCATCTCATCACAGCTCATTGATTTTTATCGTAACTTTATCAAAATTTCATCATAAACTAAATCTAAATTTATCTACAGATGTTTAAATTTAGGATTCGTATGGTGCAGATGAAAGGAACACTAGTCACCTCATATGGCCATAGCAGCTATCGGGGTCTGTGCCTCTTATCTCATACCTCATCTCATTTCATTTCATCTCATTCAATTGAAGCTCATATTAAATTAAGCTCACCGAAGGGCTCTTTATGCTGATTTCTTCCCGTTGACCTTTTGTTTCAGCTTCTGTATGCTCCTCACGCTCTTCTTCAGCACAAACGTAGCATACTCTCCGTGGCCCTCCGTATCTCTCGACGCCCTTTTCTTGATGTTTATGTACTCGTTTATTTCGTCTCGAGTTTCTCCGATTGAGATGAATATACCGACATACCGAAATAAGATCGCATTGAGGATGATGCGGCACATTCTTCCGTTCCCATCCTGAAATGGGTGAATCTCAACAAATCGAAGTGAGTATTTGGCTGCGAGTGAGAATGGATCCAGAATCTGCTTCCCATTGATGTCATTTTCGAGATTCGCGCACATTTCGGCCATCTTTGCAGGCACATATTGCGACATTACGAACATCGTGTTCCCAGCGCCCACAGGAACATCTCGATATTTTCCAGCGTATTTCTCATAGGGGACTTCCGGATGCTCGGCACCTGGATCGATGATCGAGACCCCTTTGCAAAGAATCTCATGCGTTCTCTTGATGAGATCCTCTGTGAGGGCTTCTTTATGAACCCAGAATCTGTCCAATATATACTGGAAGGCTCTCACGTGCTGGATGACTTCGCGCCGGACGCGAACAACATGGCTTCTCGACTTTCCTCGTAAAGTAGGATCCGCGGCATATAGGCCGTGAACTTTTTCATCGAAGTCTGGATCATCCTCATTGACTTCGAGTATGGAGTCGGGCTCATGCAGGGTCTTATAACAGAGATATCGTGTGGCATCCCAGCCTAGACCCGCTTGTTCGATACGATTGCTGCCATAAATTGTGTGAAAAAGAGATTCCATGACCTCTTTATGGATGATCTCCTGTTGTTCCGATGTGTGATTGACCCTCAAGGAAGAAAGAAAGCGTAATGCTTTTCCGAAGAGGGCTTCAGGGTTTTGATCGTCTTTGTAGGTGCGGTATACATCATCGTAAACAAAGGATGGACGGTCTTTAGGACCGCTGGGGTCGAGCGTGAGATTATTAAATTCCATATTCGTCTCGAAAGTCGTGGAGTAGTGCGAAAAATTATGGTAGATGGAAGCAAAGCAGGATTGAGATAGAAGCTGAGATGTGCGTCGCTGTTCAACCGAAAATATCCTGATGCAAGGCTGTAAATAACTGTTTTTCTATGAGTCACGACCTCACATTCGCACAGTTTAGAATAGCCTTTTTGTCAGGAGTGTGGCCATACACAGCTCAAGAAAGCTTATACTCATCGCATTTCTTAGTAAATTGATGAACTCGAACTAAAGAAGCCTAAAGTTTGGATGCATTTAGATGAGACTTGTGGTAATAGACCCTCAAGTTAGGAAAATTGTAGAGCCGCGAGAAGCTCGTTGCGAGTGAAGCTTCTGTCTAGGTAGGTGATCGCATGTTGCTTTAATATCGTCACTGATATTCAGTCCTTCTTCAACTAAATGCTACTAGCGTCTAAAATTTCAGAAGTTATCCAAGCACGATGTGGTACTTTGTACGATGCTGTAACGATATTTTGCTTACCGATATATGCCCAGTGTCCTGAAGGAGAAAGGGATGGCACTGGATGGGAGATGAGAGGTGATGTGTCTGCATTCTGAGCTTTACTAGCAGCTCCTCTCTTCCTCCAGAATATGCGAGTTAAGATCAAAATTGACTTAGCATTTGCCCTCATTTCTCAGCGATGTTGGAAGACTTTGTGACTCATGCATGTGTACAAGTGCATTGATTCTGTCACTCTCTGCGACTTCTTGCTCATATGACATAATAATTATCAAAAGATACTCCATGGAACCATATAAAGCAGCAATCTTATAAAGTATAATGCCCTTGATATGGTAGCATATGGATGCAGCTTGCCTTTATGCAGAGCACAGACATCGCCAAAGTCTGCACACCCTCAGGTCGTGGCTCATCTCGGATCGCGACTGCCGACGGCATCAAACTGTTTGCTATCGATTTGAGGCATGTACAACTTTTAAAAAACGGAAGCAACTTCAGTCTCGGAAGGAGTCCGGAGATGTCTAATAGAACATGGCAAACATCCCGCGTGCGACCTTCAAGACCCTCATCCTAGAACCACTTGATATTTTAGTACCATTTTTATCGACATGTATAAACATCCACTTTCTTCTCCTGCAAAGAAATCCACACACTTCAGAAGCGTAATTCTTTACGGCAATCTTCTATCCAACATGGGCAACGGTCAAAGTGTTTCTATCCGCGACTGTCTCGATGCCGTCTGTGCGAACCGCAGCTCCTGCGTCACGTACCCGAGTGATCCGCTCTTCGCCTAGTGGGCGAAGCCGTTCAACCTCGAGTTCCCAGTGATTCCAGCTGCTGTCATCCGTCCTCAGAATGTTATCGAAGTTTCCGAGACCGTCAAGTGTGCGAAACGAAGTGGTCTCAAAGTGCAGGCAAAGTCTGGAGGCCACTCCTACGGGTAGGCTAACTGTCTGAACGCGAAGAACAAAGCTGACTGGGTAGTAACTATGGCCTTGGTGGTGACAACGGCGCCGTGTCGATCGACCTTGTCAACCTCAAGAACTTCGAAATGGATAACAAAACTTGGTTGGCATCGTTTGGAGCAGGCACCAACCTTGGCGAGCTAGACAAGAATCTTCATACATTCGGAGGACGAGCCATTGCCCATGGTACTTGTCCAAGTGTTGGCACCGGTGGACACTTGACAGTAGTAGGTATCCTTCATCCAGTGTCTGCTTTTCGCTAACAACTCAAGGGCGGCCTTGGACCGATATCTCGAATGTGGGGAAGTGCTCTCGATCACGTTGTCGAAATGGAGGTCGTGGCAGCGGACGGCACGATCTATCTTGCCAGCCAAGACGAAACACCCGATCTTTTCTGGGCAATGCGCGGCGCTGGTGCAAGTTTCGGCATCGTGACCAGATTTGTGGTCAAGACTCGCCCAGAGCCCGGAAATGTTGTCCAATACAGCTACAGCATCACTCTTAACTCTCAAAACGAAACGGCCGACTTATACAAGGAATGGCAGGCATTAGTTGGAGATCCAACTATGGACCGACGCTTCGCAAGTCTCTTCATCGTTCAACCTCTGGGAGCCCTCATCACAGGAACTTTCTTTGGTTCAGAGGTCGAGTACCAGGCGTCGGGAATCCCTGCTCGTCTTCCTGGTGCCAGCAAGGGTGCAGTGTGGCTTACAAACTGGATGGGTCATTTGCTTCATGAGGCTGAAGCCGCTGGCTGCACCTTGGCCAGCATTCCGACTGCGTTCTACTCAAAGTCCTTGTCGCTCAATGAACAAGATCTTCTGAACGACACGGCAATCACGGACTTGTTTCAATACCTTGAGGACTCTCGCAGCAAATCGACACCATTCACAGTCATCTTCAATACCGAAGGCGGCGCCATGATGGATACACCTGTCAATGCAACAGCATACCCGCATCGGGAGAGTGTCATCATGTATCAATCTTACGGCGTCGGAGTGGGCAAAGTATCGGCAGCGACTCGGAAGCTCTTGGACGGGATTCACGAGCGGATCCAACGGTCGGCTCCGGGTGCACGCTCCACTTATGCCGGATACGTCGATGCATGGCTTGACCGAAAGGCGGCGCAAGAGTTCTACTGGGCGGACAATCTCCCCCGGCTTCAGGAGATAAAGAAGAAGTGGGATCCGGAGCAGGTTTTCAGAAATCCGCAGAGCGTTGAGCCGGCTGAATAGAGCGGAATTGCAGGAACTATCATTCCGTCACAAGGGCTTGTCCTACGAATGAGGGATGAGATTGTGAGGTACTGGCTCTGAGCCTCTGACGGACGCCGTAGAGGGGCCGATAGAGGCCGGGTATTAGTGTTACAAGATTGGTTTGTTGTATGACAGACGGACAGATAGGGTATGTGTAGCAATTGCTTTTTCAATGTTCTACTTCTTATACTCGCAAGCTGCTCGATTAAATTCAAGCTCTTGTTAATACAGTGATTCTTTTATTATTATATCTACCTTGAGGTAAGGTTAAGGACTCGGGCTAGCATAGTTGCTGTCACATGATGCCTATGTTGGCACTTCTACTTCTCTAGGGAGCCTCGGCTAGCTAGCATTATCACTCATTCAACACACTATGTTACTTGGTTATCTGCGTGCCACACACCTTAAGTCGATCCAGCTCTCCTCCGGTGTCTTTCCATCCAGAGAAATGAGTGGATATATAGGGGAGAGCCTCTCTTTGCGAACCCAGTCGTACGCATATATCGCTATGAGGATGGCTGCAATGATTGTGAGGACTTGAGCGGCGATTGGAACGCCCTGCATCAGGGAGAGGGCGTAGCTGAGAGACGTCATGACGATGTAAGTTGATGCAACATTATGAGTGTCTTTCTTAGGTGTAGGATATATGTATGTATGAAGTGTGCAGAGATGTTTGTTATAATCTTACATCGTTCGGGGGGTGGAGTGTCAGACATGACTGGAGATGCCTTCACAATAGTAGTGAATATCTCGGGCCGCGGCCCGAGTATGTGCATGAAATAGATCTGCACTCTGAAGCCACCTCATTTAAGGATATTCCCTGGTTCTACAGATAAGACAGCCACCGAGAATGTGACGTCTATCCTGATAATCTCGTTGGCTCTGTTACCCGGTCGATTGATCTGAGAGCCGCAAAAGTGAACTTCCTTGGCTTCAACAACGGCTCCGCGTAGAATCAACTAGGGACATCCAGTCCGCCTATGATCTGGTGGCAGCGCTCGGGCCTCTTCGAGTAGCCGCGGGATCCTTGAGGTGCAGTCATGATGGATTTGCTCGCTCACTCACTCACTCAGTCTCGCAATTTATTGCTCTCTTGCGTCTCAAGAAACTAAATTCTGTATGCCGGAATAAGCTCTCAGCCACAAGTCTCAACTGCATATAGCGCCTCGAGGAAGATCTATTCCTGGCAACAAGAGAAGACCCGACAGTCTGTAAACACCCTGCTCAAGCATCAAACGATTGTCAGCGAAGCAACAATGTCGAAGAACGACACTGGCAAGCCCGCTAGCCTACTGGCACCGCAATATATTACTGGTGTATACATACCATGTGCGGCCCTCATCCTAGGCACAGTCGTCTTCAAGCCTCAATGGCTCCCTCTAGCCTTGGCAGTCTGCGCAGCTCTCGGGGGATACCAATACTTGAACAATCGTAAGACTCTGTGACGATGACGATTTCTCTACGGATACTGACATTCTTTCAGAAACGAACAAGGTCCTCGACCCGGTCAACTTCCAAGAATTTCCTCTTCTCAAGAAGACCGTCCTCTCTCACAATACTGCCATCTACCGCTTCGGCCTGCCCACTCCAAACTCGATCCTCGGGTTGCCGATAGGCCAGCACATCTCCATCGCCGCAAACCTCGATGTGAAGGACCCAAAGACCGGGAATGTCAAGAACAAGGAGGTCGTTCGCTCATACACGCCAATTTCCTCCGATTCTGATCCCGGCTACTTTGACCTTCTTGTCAAGACCTATCCGAATGGCAACATCAGCAGACATCTCGCTACGCTCAAAATTGGTGACACGATAAAGGTCAGGGGTCCAAAGGGCACCATGGTCTACACACCTAACATGGTCAGAGGGTTTGGCATGATCGCTGGTGGCACCGGTATTACTCCAATGCTGCAGATAATCAAGGCTATTGTGCGCGGGAGGAAGAACGGTGATAGGACGGAGATGGACCTGATCTTTGCTAACGTCAATCCAGAGGACATTCTGTTGAAAGAAGATATAGATAAGCTTGCGAGAGAGGATGATAAGCTGAGGGTGTACTATGTGCTCAACAATCCTCCCGAGACATGGGATGGTGGCGTCGGATTTGTCACGCCCGATATGATCAAGGTAAGAATGAATATTTAATCATTGAAAGGCGACCCTCGGAATGACAATGTTTTTCACTAGGAACGTTTCCCAGCACCAGCTTTTGACATCAAGATTCTCATATGCGGCCCGCCACCGATGGTCAGCGCAATGAAGAAGGCGACCGAATCACTGGGCTATCAGAAGGCCAGGCCAGTTAGCAAGCTAGAGGACCAAGTCTTCAGCTTCTAATGTTAGTCGAGAGCTGCTTGGTAACATTGGAGTTCTTGTTGATGAGATTGATTGACCCGCTCCGGCTTCTAAGTTAGTGCATCATTTCCCCACGTATCGAGATCTTCTGGTGGCGTAAACTAGTGGGGGACTTCTTCAAAATCCGGGGTAACATCCATCATATTCAACACAAATACAGTCAAGTTCCCGACTCTCAATCAAAGTCGTGAGTGGTCCAATCCTCCATAGAACATATACAACAGACTTAGTCCTTATCTATGATGCTTATCATGCCAAAAGTCCCCCATGTCAACATGTCATTCCATCACTGATAAAGCCCCTTGTCAAAAACGCCCTATTTCCACAGTTAACCATTCTAGCTTCCCCCTCCTTGACCCCGCATCATCTGTCACTTACCGCGTGAGCACGACGGATACGGCCAGACACGGCATTTGTGTAGACCCGCTTGGACACAACAAAGGGCGTTGTGGTAGTTTGACAACAAAACCCGACCTGTGTCTGTTTTGTCTTTGTTGCAACTACAAGATTCTTACAGCAACCATCTCGTAGACACCCTCATATCTGATTGGTGTTGATCCTTGACTGGACTGGGATACTGAAGTAAGTAAGTATTGGAGGTAGTGAGTGAGGCTCGGCATTTGTTAGTTTGGGGTGACACTTACACCGCCATCATACATCATTGAGCCTCATCACCACCTCATGAAAACACATTCAGATACTAACCTATTGATAGAACTCAATTCATCATGGCTCTCCTTCAAAGATCCAGATTAGCCGCTCAAGGCCTCTCAAAATGTCGTCCAGCACAGCTTCAATCCTCAGTGAGGAGATTCAACACCGCAGCAATCTCATCACTTTCTCAACGAGATGGGAAAAGCCCTTCTCTATCTCTATCTGCGAGCCACTCAAAGGCATCAACATCTCTTCACACACCTTCGCCCACAGCAGTTATGAACCGTGCTTACTCAACGGCAAGTGAAGACATGTACACAGCATCATTTGCCTTCTTCGAGGCTATCTGGGATGCCGGTATCACCCATTGCTTTGTCAACTTGGGCACTGACCACCCTAGTATCATTGAGGCTATGGTAAAGGGACAGAGGGAGAAGAAGGGCAAATTCCCCAAAATCATCACATGTCCCAATGAGGTATGCTTATTACGTCGAGCTTTCCCGGGCAAAATTAACATAATCAGATGGTGGCCATGTCAATGGCTGATGGTTACGCCCGTTTAACAGGCAAACCCCAGTGTGTAATCGTCCACGTTGACGTTGGAACTCAAGGCCTCGGAGCAGCCGTCCACAACGCTTCCACAGGCCGCGCCCCCGTGTTAGTATTCGCCGGTCTATCGCCATTCACACAAGAAGGTGAACACCGCGGAAGTCGCACAGAGTACATCCACTGGATCCAAGATGTGCCAGACCAAAAACAGATCATCTCTCAGTACTGCCGATACACAGGCGAGATCAAGACAGGAGCTAACGTCAAGCAAATGGTTAACCGCGCTCTGCAATTCGCTACTTCGGATCCCCAAGGTCCTGTGTATCTGTGCAGTGCACGAGAGATTCTCGAGGCTGATCTTAAGCCTTATTCGCTGAAGCAAGAACACTGGGAGCCCGTTGAGCTTGGTGGTCTTCCTACAAGTGCTGTTGACAAGATCGCTGAGGCTTTGGCTGGTGCAAAGGCGCCTTTGTTGGTTACAGGATATAGTGGACGAAACCACAAGGTTCCTGCTGCGCTTGTTGAATTGGCAGATAAGGTCAAGGGCCTGCGAGTCTTGGATACTGGCGGTTGCGATATGTGCTTCCCTGCTGATCATCCCGCTTGGATCGGATTGAAGTTTGGTGTTGACGATGCTGTTGAGTCTGCCGATACTATTGTCGTTTTGGACTGCGACGTGCCCTGGGTTCAAACCCGCTGCAAGCCTCGTGAGGACGCAAAGATCTTCCACATCGATGTCGACCCCCTGAAGCAGCAGATGCCAACTCACTATATCCAGGCCGATGCGCGCTACAAGGCTGATGGTCTCACCTCAATCCAACAAATCACTGAAGCTCTCAACAAGAAGGAATTCGCCAGTAAACTCGAAGTCAACGCCGCCGAGACAGAGAAGCAACGCGCTGAAGTCCACGAGAACAAACTCGCTACCATCGCCAAGGCCGCAGAACCTCTTGCAGATGATACATTCGGTACTGGCCATCTTAGCAAGAAGCTTCGTGATCTTTGCCCTGAAGATACAATCTGGGCTATTGAGGCTGTCACCAACACTGGTTTCGTGCACGACAACATCCAGCCCACAATTCCCGGATCTTGGATCAACTGTGGAGGCGGTGGTCTCGGCTGGTCTGGCGGTGGTGCCCTGGGTATCAAGCTCGCGACAGACGCTGAGAACGGCGGTACAAACAAGGGCAAGTTTGTTGTGCAGATTGTGGGAGATGGAACATATCTCTTCACAGTACCTGGTAGCGTGTACTGGATCTCAAGACGCTACAAGATTCCCGTCTTGACTATTGTGCTCAACAACAAGGGTAAGTCACCTAGCTTCAATCCAACTGGCCTTTGCTAACACGTCACAGGATGGAACGCTCCTCGCAAATCTCTTCTCCTTGTTCACCCCGACGGTCTCGGGTCAAAGGCCACAAACGAAGAGATCAACATTTCCTTCGATCCCGTACCTGACTACGCTGGTATCGCCAAGGCTGCTGCAGGTGGAGATATTCACGCTGCTAGAGTTGACAAGGCTTCGGATCTTGAGAGTGTATTGAAGGAAGCTATTGCCAAGGTGAAGGCTGGACAAACGGCGGTGATTGACTGCAAGGTTGCACCGGACTGTTGAAGACTTATGAAATTATGAGATGATAATGTGGAGGTTTGGGATGGACTTAGATCTAGGGGCTGGAATGCCGGGATTTGTTTAGACTGGTAGCATTGACAGGTGCATCAAGAGCATTGCTTCTATACGTTATGTGGTTCGTGAAGGGCTCCTCTCCTGTGGATACAGTTCTTCCTTGAATCCAGTCAAGGGGTTTTGCCTTTCATGGGAGCCTGATTCTTCCGGTCAATGGTGAGGGTCTTTGTTGCGACTCGATCAACAAGGCCCAGAATTGAAGCTGACATTCACAAGTCCTCAATTCCAGGATGCAGCCACTGGTCATTCCTGTCGAACGGTTTAATAGTCACATACTATTACAGAGCACTCTTACATACCCCCTTGACTCTGTGAGATTAGCTATGGTAGATAGAGCAGACCATCTTTACATAGGCTAACTCGAACAAATGATCATAGACAAACTTCAGCATCGCCTCAGGAATTCTGCCCAGTAAAATACGTATTCTTCACTGAGATGTTAAACTACCATTAGGCCAGATCTCCTTGTTATTTATCTATCCTGGCGTGTATAAGCAAAGTATGTTTCCCTGTCCTCCTTATCAAATTTCCTACATAAAGAGTTTACATTCTTGCCCAGAGATGTTTTTGAGAATGATGTTGATACTGGAATCATGGGTAGAGTTGGGCTTATCGGGCTTAAAAGTTGAAGCCAGCTCCAAATCACATGGTGGATGAAATGTTCACCATGTCACTGTGCGCCTTGGTGGTACAGATATGCAATACCATTCATCTTGAATCCTCGTCTCCCTATTCCTTCTTACTAATAACAAGAGTACGGACTTCGATACTCTCGCGCGGAGGTGCTTCAGGATCTGCCTTGTAATCGTAGAAAGATCCATGAGGTGGACAGGCTGTACATCATCAGCTTCACTCCGCTTCTCACTTATATCAGCGTATCTTACCCAGCTCGTCATCTTTCAGTGAATCCCACGTCACGAACAGAACCGGTAAGTCTCTTGTTTGTTTGGGCCACCAATACCACTGCTGCTTTGGGTTCCAATGCAGATAATTTCCTTCGCCTACACAACCAGTCAGACTCTTGTCGCATGATTCAATGTCGCTTGGCGAAACGGATCGTCTATCGCACAGAGCCAATGGTGCGTCCTCTATCGTCCCCACGATGGGACGCCAAACGCTATATGAGTCAGTCGAGCATATGCCCCTGGAGTGATTCTTTTTCCATACTTACTTGATGATTCGTACGCGCATGTCGGATAGTGAAGCAAACTCGTCCTTGGTAAGGTACCTCTTGGCGACGAACAATCCTCCTTTCAGAGATTCATCTGGGAAAGTTAGCTGATTGATTGCGTCTTTCGAAGGGGTAGCGCAAATGACCTTGATGAACCACTTTGGCGGGTGGAATGAACTCGAAACTTTCACCTCCTGGATTGCCATTTACGGCATTGCCTGCTCGTCTCTCTGTCGCGGTATCGTTTTTGCGTAACTGGACAAAGAACTGATCAACGACTATTCATAGCCTTGTTCATTACAGGAGACATACTCGCCAATCAAAGCATATAACCTTTTCAGCCTGAGTATGCTGCTTGACAAGCTCGATGGTCTCATCCAAATACGGTGATAACGCTTCACGACCGCCTACTTGGACCTGGGAAGCAGTTTTTGCTAGTTTTGTAGTTTCATGTCGAATAAACTTGAAACCACCAGTTTCAAGGTTGAACTCGGTACTGCGATGGCTCATATCTTTTATCCGTATTTTCCGTTGTTCAAAAAGTAACAGTTTGTTTTGTGGACTGTCAGGCATCCATATTTCGTAGGCCCTTTGCTGGTTGTCAATGTCTGCTTTACTGAGGAATGGCATGGTTGATGCGCGATCCATGATGTGGTCTTCTTGTTCAAAAATGAATAGTTTATACTTCATATGTTTATTAGAGATTTTGAATCAGAAAGTTATCGGAATTCTGTCATCGAGAGTTTCGGGGGATGGCTTATAGTACACACATATTCACAGCCTGAGTCCGATAAGAATACGCATAGCACTGCAACCAACAGTAACATCATACCATACACGTTTTGTTACCATCTACCCCGCCCTCAAGCTAATAGAGCTGCCTTCCTAATACTCTGTGATGAGCTAATTGGTGGCGGATGCGACTTGGCTGTACCACCCTGATATGCGGAGCCTGCTTGCAGGCGAGGCAACCTTGCGCAAGAACCTGCATTATCTTGGGTTTTGGAAAGAGGGGTTTGCATTTAATGGTACGTTCTATTAATCCTTGATCCGTAGGCTTGGGGTGGAAGTATGCTTATCATTTGACCGACTTCCTGCTTCCTTGTGTCAAGAGTAGTGAACATTATGGCTTTCAAGCACGAATCCAGCAAGCCAACATGGGAGAGGCCGCTGAATATTTACAAACAGAGTTTTAGCGGAGATGACTTCGACCACATTGAGCAGCTTCAGGACTAAGATATCATGGTTCACACCCTAGAGACCTTCAAAAGCAAAGGAACTGACGCGGTCTCCTATCTGTCCTTTCAGGCATTCCCCCAGCATTGACCAAAATCAATATTTCCCTACTCATTCCTGCTTTTTAGCTGGAAAGTAAAATTACAGGGTACGATCAACAATGATATGGGGTGCAGTTCATCTGAGGCTTCAGGTCCGCGTCTCATACAGTGATGTTTATAACCCCATCCTGAACCAGACCGTATCTTTGCTCGTAGACCTGAGCGATGATGTGAAGATGTCAGGTGGTATGAATAGCTACTTCAATGGGGTCAAACTTTGTATAATCTCCTTGTTGATGTTATTTGTTCTGATCTTTTGGTTACGCATGGTCAGATTTATGCATCGCAATCATTGGTATGTCCAGTGGTGACTATCTCTACTCCTCTTTGAGTTAACTATTTATTTGAGTCAACATGCCTAGTATATCCTATTCCAATATCCAGGTATAATTCGATGAAATAACTAAACGTATCAGAAAGCACCTCTAGTGAAAGAATCCGCTAAGGGCTCTCAGTTTGAAGCAGCCTAGTACTCAAAGCCAGCACCTTTCAAGGGGCTTAGGTTTATGCCAAAGTCGCCAAATTTCCTTTCAGTAACATGAAATCTCCGGATTATCCTCAATCCTTCGGATTAGAAGCAATGAGCTGAACAAGATTCGTCAGGAGCTGGACCCCATTGCAACACATCAAAATACAATCTCCTAACGCTAACTGGCATGAGAGGTGCGAGAAAGACACAGATTTCCTTCACTACGGTAACTGATGGTATAGAACTCAATTCAGTGCTTCTTGGCCCTTTTCCAGCGTGATCTTAATCGGCAACAGGTAAGCATTGGCTCATTGTCTTTGACAGCTTTAAAGATGGCTATCATGTGAAGGAAAGCACAGATTCAGCCTATAGGATCCCTTAATGGCTCATCCGAAGTGAGAAATTTGAGTTCTAAATGCACAAATACCATGAGAGTTTCTCCCTTTGCTGCAGAAGAGGCAACGATTCTCTCAGTCAACATCATCCGATGTCACAACTATTCGCAATAGAAGAGGTGATTAGGCAATAAAAACTCTCATCTCAGTAGCTCCAATTGACATAAATCCACTTAGTGAGAGTTTATCGTACTCGTCGTCTTATACAAGAGGAATTTGTTCACTGGCTTAGTTCCAGCCGCAGAGAGGCGGTCTTCTAAATGCTTTCCGGCTCTTCTTCCAAGCTCTTCCAAGACAGATTCACCATCATATGGGCCTACCTGAAAGAATTATATCCAATACTGTGCCTGACTGTTATATAATGTTCAAAAGCTGAAACAAAATGAGTCGCCGCAGGACTCCTGGTTAGGGGATGCAAGAAAACTTAAGGCCCCTATCCTGAGAAATGGAAATATTTAGGCAACTCTAGTCGAAGTTCAGGGACCTATTTACTAAGTTTATTTTAGCATCCCCTTCTTAAATCTCTGGTGAATATTCCGCAGGCTGACCGATCGGCTTTTAAGTAACGTTTTTCAGGCATCTCACAGAAACCGCTTCATCTCTTTAAGGTGACAAGTTACTTGAAATAACATTTATGTCTTTTAAAAACACAAGACACTCTTATCTACGCTACGATTTGCTAAACAGCAGGGTCATATAAAGAGAATGAGGAAAGGCATCTTTGACATGTCTTTTGATCCCAACAGGCCATGGATATTAGACAACAGCATCTTGCTCCGGATCACCTGGGCTCGACCAATATTCACAAGAAGTGAACGGTGCATTGCTAACTGATCGTCGTAAAGACGAAGCGATCAAGATATACACTGCGCTGTGGTTCCCAGAGGACGTCTCTCATAGGTTCAGTGATGTATTTTGCTTTACGCGACACCTGCCTCCCTTGAGAGTATAACCTGGAGTGTTAGTAGTTCAGTTATGAAAAGCCTTAACTTGTGATACAATTTACAATGTGTGGTATTCTAGTGCATTCCTTTATTTCAGACGAACCGCTACACGATTCGAAATCCGAAGAGGTTTGTTCTCCCCTTTCTGAAATATTTTGAGATAGCATTAGCGTGCTTGAAGGGTCATTTACTTCTTTATTACTTATATTCGCAGTATTGGCAGCATTTGGCTTGAACTACGGTATATACTTCACCAACAATATTGCTTCTGTTTGCAGAATTGCAAGAGTGACATGTTGTCGGTATCAGGTCAGGGAGCTTTTTTGCATCAAGATGTGGTAGAGGAGTGTAGGGTATGTCTGTAAGTGCGCGTCTTCCAGCGTATTGGAGCCTTATTATGTGAACACATTACAATAGAATGCGAAAACATACGTTGACAGTCTTTTCATGTCCTTGCTGGGACTAATTTCTGATACTGTTTCTCTTTGTATAAGTCTAATCTTTGCAACGGGACGTGCCGAGGTTGTTTCCGCGGCACTTACTTGTCCAGGACAGGCAAGTGATTCGTCGTATCGCCCCTAGAACTCTTGACTGATACACATTATTCGTTATTGATTGTGTGATTTGAAAGAGAAAAGAGAAATCGTGGCAAGGGCGCGTAACTGATGGAGTTTCTGATATTTCTCATGCAGAATAGGTCAGCAGGCTTAAAGCCCAGATCCGGGGTGGCCGTGTTTAGACGCCGGGAAAAACATCAGACGACGCCTAAATGGTGCCTTGGCAGGGAAGATCATCATCTCTTGCGGCTCTTATGCTCTGCTGGTCATGCAGCAGTTTAACCCAGAGGCCGTTTGGTCTAGATCTTCAGCGAGTGGGCTGTATATCCGTATGCGTAAACATACCCCGTATTTACTGCAATGTTGCCAGGGATAACACGATAAATATGATACGCTGCTTTCATATCCGGAGTCTACCGTCGTGGAATAACACCATTCATCCATCTCGGAGGCTAAATCTGAGTGAATGTCCTGACATGGACCTATTTGACAAAATTGGTACCGTCGCATTCCACTTTCAAGACTAGAAGGTGGTTAGTTTTTCGATACTAAGAAAAAAGAAGACGCGAAAAATATGGGAATTGATCACGATAGGCATTTGCTGATCTGGCTATTCCACTGAGTCAGGTCAAATCTCATCTTATCCATTTCTCCCCGCACCACGTGCTCGTGACATGAAAAAAGAAGCTCGGGAGGAAGGTGCGGCTAGTTGCTGCTGGTGCAGGTGCTGGCAGGTGCAGGCGCCAGCGGTTGCAAGTGCAAGTGCAAGTGCGGGCAGGTCCCCGTACCGTAACTTCATGGGTTGGGCAGCCGCCGACAGGCAACTTACATTCAATATTGCCTAGGCACAATAAACAAAAGCAAACAAATCACTTCATTTACATTCTCTTTTTAATCTCGCAACTTCTCTTTTCTAATCCTTGATCTGATTTCCTTTAGAGTTCTTCATCGCAGGCTCTTCCTGGCGAGTTCGAGTCTCACGACCGCGACTCATCTCGGACAATTCATCTCATTTCATTGCTTCTTCATCTTGTTCTTGTCCTTCATTTGACCTAAAACAACGCCACGCTAAAGTAGTCGGTCCGGCTTTTGTATCATCAGGCTTTCGCTCGCTCGCTCCCTCTCGACCGTTACGATCTCCTACTGAAGTCGATAAACTATAAAGGGTCGACTCGACGCCCTCACCTCACGGGACCCTCCACTCTGCGACTACTGCACCTTACTCCTCCAGGGTCCCACGTCGAGATCTTACCTTAGGCCCCGCCACTCCACTTCGGTATTCTCGTCCCACTACAGGTCGCAACTTTGCGCTGGTATTGGATTGGATTGGCATTTATTTACCTACACCCGACTCGACCCAAAGCAACAACAAAAACAGGCCTAGCCCGTGATACGAAAACTTGCTCCAACAATTTGTTCTTCACTCTCCTCCACTACGTCTCGATTCACGAGAGATCATGAAAGGCGTCGAGCCGGATCTTGCCCAGCGCCTTAAGAGATTGAGACGCGTCAATAGCTCTGTGTCTTGACCACCGACCAAGCTTTCACACACACAATTTGCTTTTTCCAGTCATGTCTTATCAAACGGCTGTTACTACCGAGGCTCAGGCCGGCACAATTCCACTGCGACATCCCGATACCACTCCTGATCGACCGCTGCCTCCTCCCCCGGTGCCCTCTTCCGATCCTCATTTGATCGCCGACGACCCCTCCGCACCGAAAGCCTCTGCCGATCATGGCCTCTTCGAGATGTCACCAGCAGAAGCACTCGCTCTGCTCAGCGCTGGCGTCGAGCTTCTTGTCCGGATAACGGGCGATGTACCGCCGACACCACCGCCAAAATCTCCTACCGTGCCGCACATGAGTGGCATGCAAGCTGAGAAGGAGAATATCGTGCGGTCATACTCGGATAAGAATCTGGCGAAATTAAGGAAACAGGCCGAGCTTGAGGCTAAGAGATTGGCTGCCAAAGATAAGCCTGAGCCTGTGCATGACAATCAACCAGAGTCGGGGGATATTGATGGTGTGCGGCTGAAGCCTCACCCAGGTCTCATGTCGCCGCCACCTCAATCAGAGCCTTATGTTGTCGTGGGAGCCGATTCTCAGCCTGTCAACTTGCAACACAGCGCTATAACACGCAAATTCTACAGCAAGAATGAGCCTCCGATCACTATCAACCAGTATCTTCAGCGACTACACCAATTCTGTCCCATGAGTACCGCAGTATACCTCGCGACATCACTATATATACACCGATTAGCCGTTGAGGAGCGAGCTATTCCCGTCACCCGGCGCAACGCACACCGTTTAGTCCTGGCTGGTCTTAGAGTTGCCATGAAAGCTCTTGAAGATCTATCTTATCCCCATGCCAAGATGGCTAAGGTGGGTGGCGTCAGTGAAGCAGAACTGGCTAGGTTGGAGATAAGCTTCTGTTTCCTGGTTGGATTCGAACTAGTTGTTGGTGAGAGTCGACTACGGAAACACTACGAGCGATTGAGAGATCGCACTTCGCATCACGGCTTCGATAATGCGGATGTTCCTATATTAAACCTCAAGCCTCGGCCACGCGGCGGAGTTCAGCCAGCAGCATAGACAACTGGCTCGCCTACTTACCCTACTCATCTACATTTCACGCATCATGGTTTGGGACATTTGAGAGCATGGAATCTGCATCATTTTGTTTTTATTTTTGGGGCGCCGTACTTTATGGTGTTTGGCACGAGCATTGTACATGGCTTTTCACCTTGCACATAGTTTGTCTAGGCGTGGCATTATGGGATAAGAGGCATATATGTTGGAGTGCATCATGAATTTATATCCAGACTTGTAGCATATTCCCGTCCATCACTTTCATCATTCCCACGTGTTCATGCGATGTGGCTGCCACGATCTACGAAACCAAGGGAACTACTTGACTCGTAATCAGGGTCTTGATTGTTCACGAGGGGCCCATCAAGACCCGCTGTGTGATGGACCCCTCATGGCTTTTCGATTTGGAATGTTCCAAGAATCCACATAACTCCGTATAGCCGTCGTGTAAATGGAACGTAGTATTCGAGCGAGTCAGAACTCCATGAACAATATTGATGGGTCCACTGGGTATCGCATGCGGCCTATTTCCTGAGTCTGTATAGCTTCACGATGGACTTTATCAATAGCACACCGATACAGTGCCTGAAGGATTCACTGCTCCCAGACTTGACCTATCATTGTGAAGCTAGTGATCCTGATGGCCCATGTGCTGCATTTCCATATTCGTTTCTGCCGTAGATAACCGCTTACCCCATCTTACAACACCCCATCCTGATCCATCATCGTCATCTCACCTCACTTCTGTTCAGTCACTCATCAACAAACTCTGGGATTTGAAGCAGCGTTCATGTCGAAATGGGCGCCAAGACATCTGAAGACGATCACTCTGGAGGAAATGGTACTTCTCATAGCCTTTGATACACATAGAAACTTGACTTACACGTGCCAGGCCAAGGACCACTCTCATCCAAGCCATCCTCTGCAGGCGGAGAGCCACGCGGTGCTCATCTCGCCCGCGATGGTGACGGCAGTCTGGGAGGCGAAGGGGGCGACGACGACGACGATGATGATAACATCAACACTCCCGCCGGACCGCTAACCGACGGTGCTGGTAAGAAGAAGAAAAAGAGAAAGCCGAAGAAGAAGAAGAAGGCTCCTACACAGCAATCTTCACCTCCTAGAGTCCCGCTGAGTGATCTCTTCAAAGAGTTTCCCGCTGGTGAAATTCAGGACTACAATACTGCTCGTACCACAGCTAAGGAACTTCGCTTCGTGGGTCGTCGACACCTCGAAGATCCGGAGTTTCTGAACGATTACCGAAAGGCTGCTGAGGTTCATCGGCAGGTCCGACAGTGGACGCAGGATAATGTCAAGCCGGGTGATAAACTCATTGATGTCGCTAATGGTATTGAGGACGGCGTGCGTGCTCTTTTGGGGAATCAGGGTATTGAACCTGGTGATAACCTCAAGGCTGGAATGGGGTTCCCGACGGGTCTTTGTTTGAACCATGAAACTGCACATTATACGCCTAATCCTGGCCAGAAGGATGTTGTTCTCAAGTATGAGGATGTCATGAAGGTTGATTTTGGCGTGCAGATCAATGGTTGGATCGTCGATAGTGCATTCACCATGTCATTTGATCCTACGTACGATAATCTTCTGAATGCCGTTAAAGATGCTACCAACAGCGGCATCAAGGTATGACTTTCGCTTTCTCATAGAGGACCTATCTAACGTTCGTAGGCCTCTGGTATCGACGTTCGTATCTGCGACGTCAGCGCCGCAATCCAAGAAGCAATGGAGAGCTACGAGGTCGAAATCAACGGAAAGACATACCCCGTCAAGCCCGTCCGCAACATCTCAGCGCACAACATCAAGCACTACCAGATCCACGGCGGAAAGTCGATCCCGTTTATCAAGAACAATGATCAGACTAAGATGGAAGAAGGTGAAGTGTTTGCCATTGAGACGTTTGGTACAACCGGTACTGGACGGCTTTACGACGATGTAAGTGCACATGTTAGTGAGTGAGTTGGGTTGTTGCTGATGAGTTTAGGTGGGCATTTATGGCTACGGCTTGCATCATGATGCGCCGAGACATGTGAATTTACCTTTTACGTCGGCGAATAGGCTTTATAAAGTCATTCGTGAGCAGTTTGGTACTATCGTCTTTTGTCGTCGATATCTTGAGCGTTTAGGTCAAGAGCGATATCTCGCTGGTGTAAGTGCTATAACCGTATATGAGGGGGAAGATTACTGACGGAGTTGCGAAGCTGAACTCTTTGGTCTCGAATGGTATTCTTGAAGCGTATGAACCGCTTGCTGATATCAAGGGTTCTTACTCGGCGCAGTTCGAGCATGTAAGTTGATGTGTAAGTGAAGATATGGGATGGATGCTAACTGTTGTAGACTATTCTGCTTCGAGAGTCGCATAAGGAGGTTATTAGTCGTGGAAGTGACTACTAAATTGCAATGATTCAATATTTGTGAAATTGGGGATGGGAAGGGGTTCAACATGATATCGGAATGGATTCAACACCATTTCCTCCCGCTGAGCAGTAGTCCCAACACCACTGCACACAACTGAGGTCTGGCTTCAACACGCTTGCCTGAGTTTACATTCGTATGATAGTCTACGCTGTCACCATCTTTACCAAATCTATTTGTACTTACACATTCACGTCGGTACATGACTTGTGCTGAACTCTTGGCATTATCGGTGATTTCCCAAAACGTAGGTACTCTACCAAACATGCTATCATCTCGCCATAGATCAACAGTGAGTCACTGGAGAGACTATCTCAGACATACATTAGGTACATCAGCCACTTAATAAACCCCGCCATATGCCCGCACCAGAAGCGAACTGCCAATGGGTGGTGCCTTGAGAAACAGGGTGTCATGAGGCCCTATCGGCTAATGTCTCGATCGGCACATCATGAGCGGGGTTTGAGAACCGAAACTCCCTTAGTCTAGGACATCTTTTTAGGCAGACAAGGCAATCGGACAATCGAGAGATTCCAATTGAGATGCCACTGATTGCGGCAAAACGACCCTGCTGCTCAATCCTCCCTGTACTGAAACAACAATTCATGCTATACCTCTGTGCATCAACCCAAGATCCAAAATACGCCCCCGACTCGCATTTGACTAACCCTCGTCTTTACAAAATACCTCGATTCCACAGCGTCTCAAGATGAAGCTTCACCAAAGTCCCAAAACGACCCCATCTTTCGATTCTTGGTGTTTGTCTCCACTCCTCCACCAAAAAAAAGAACTTTGGTTGGGAACTATCCTTGTTCTGATTCACGATGTATGCATGCGCGATCCTTCGGTGTTTTGAGGTTCCTTTATTTTTTACACTTTATTGCCGAGGAGTGAAATATCGTGATATTCTTTGGAAGTCGGTTGATTCATAATTTCCGGTGAGGGAGATCGTGATGTCTTCGTGGGCAGCCTATTCTACACTTACACTGGACTTGCACACCCTCAGTCCTAGGGTCATGAGACAGATAGGTTTTTTTCTGTTCTTGCACATTTGATGTGAAATGTCTTGTACCTGCTTTAGTGTCTCACCTCCTCCAAGCCATTGACCCATCTCAAGCCATCTCAGTGTAAACATTCACAGTAATGCAAGTAGGAACCAAAGTATTCAAAAAACAAAACCCATTCTGAGTTCCTTTTTTTTCTTGCTGTTTTGTGTCTTGTATCTAACTAAGTGTTCTGTAATCCTTAGAATCGGCTCATTGCCTTGCTCGCTGGTATCCCAAATCCCATTATCAAACTCCCATAAACGTATACAGAATAATTCCCAAATCCCAAGTCTAGTCGCTAAATATCATTTGCTTCAAAAATAAAACTCCATGTAAAACAGATCAAAGTGATACAAGACCAAATACTTCAACTATATCGTTTACTCATATCGGTACACTCCTGGCTCGTACATCTCAGACGGCCGTCTGCTGCCAGCGCCGATTGTAAGTCGTCGCTTGGGCTGCATGCGCTCACGGAGACGCTCGCGCTGAGCCTCCTCCTCCTTCTTCTCCTCGCGACGAGCAAGGCGGCGTGCCTTGTCCTCACGACGCTCCTCCTCGAAGCTCAAGCGGCGAAGCTCATCAGCGAGAACTGCTTGGCTGTCGACGACTTCGACGGAGGGGCGCTTGTATGTGGCAGAGCGCTTGGGAGGAGCAGGGGCAGGGGCGACAGGGCGAGAGGCGATCTTTGCGTTGGCCTCTGCGATGCGAGTGCGCAGACGAAGCTCAGCTTCCTCTCGGCGTTTCTCCTCGCGACGGCGTTGGCGACGCTCCTCCTCTTGGTCGGAGTGTCGGCTGCCGCTCGATGAGTGGCGGTGGTGCTTGGAGCGGTGGTGGTTGTCAACGACTTCGATCTGGACACGGCGCTGGTCAGGCTGAAGAGTTCGCTCATCAACGATGACGGGGCGGCGCTTGTTAGGGTCCCGTGAAGAGTCGACGATGTATGTGTTTGAGATGGGTGATGCGGGGGCAGTGTGAGGGGCATTCCATTGCTGGGGAGGAGTGCGTGGTGTAGGGGGGCTGTCGACCAAGACGATTCTCTCCTGGTGACGAGAGCTTGGTCGACGCTCACGGCGGTTCAGATCAAGAACCTTCTGGCCGTTGATGTAGACTCCAGATGATCGCTTCTTCTTGCTGCCGTTGCTGGTGTATGAGCGGTCTGATTCATCTCCCGAGCGGTATGAGCCCGACGGTGTAGAAGGGGCAGGGCTATACTGCGGCGTAGGAGGGAGTTGAGCAGCATAAGGGTAGGAAGAAGCGTCGTAGGGAGCGGGAACGTATTGGACTGGGTGCTCGAATAGAAAGTTGCTGGCGCAGACTTGTCCATGGCGAGAGTTTGCGCAGAGCGTGGGTTGAGACCACTGCTCGCGACGTCCATCGGGGTGGACGTATGTGTAGATGTTTGTAGTGCACATTGTGTCGGTGCTGAGAGGTTCTAAGCGGCTGTTGCGCTGTGGAGGATCCTCTTGGATGATGATCGGAGGCAGACGATGTGTTCTTGATATAGTCTGCTCAGGTGGTGAAGAAGTGCTGCTTCGACGACGACGGTTGTGGACGATGTTCTCAATGATAAGAGGTGACTGTTGAGAAGACAGTTTGAATAGAGATGAGAGAGAGGAAAGATCAAGTTCTTATAGTAAGTGGTGTTTGTGTAAGATGAATTGAGTGTTTTGTTTGGTTGTCGAGAGAGTGGCAGATGGAGGTGGGTTATATAGAAATGAGGAAGGGTAGTTTGAAAGCTGTGTAAGCTAGCTCCAAGTACCGAGTGACTTTGGTAGTAATTGGATGCCTGGCCTTGCAAAGTAAGTGTAAAATATGGAGTGTTGGTGCCTGGGGTTTAGTTTAGTTTGTGAGAGTGTGTGCAGTAGTGTGATGTTGTTGGTGTAAGTGAGTGTGTGGTTCGCAAAGCGTTCGAAGATATATACAAAGAGACTTGTACTTGTAAAAAGGGTGGTGTTCCCTCCCAGAGGCTTGGTTCTCCCTCTGTAAAGGCAGCCTTGAAGGTGGAGAAGGCCGTTTCTGCCTACCGTCCGTCTGCGGCCACTAAAAACCCCTGTCCTGTCTAGTCCTGGCCCCCAAGGAATATGCCCATGCCGATGACTCCCCCCTGGGTCATCTCAGCCACGGCCACCCATGACAGTCAGTTTCTGTTGGTTCGAACCGCCAGACATGAATTGATTCAATCTAGGATAATCGTTGACTCTGTAATTCAAGGTTAGTGGGATCGAAGAAAACGGGTATCGAAGCGGGAGATCAGGACACGGACGACAAGTGACAATCCCGTAATTAGAGAGTAAATCAACTCGTGGGCAGATGAATTGGTATTTTACAATTGGAAGACAACGTAATCTAGGACTTCAATGGCCAACAACACGCGGCCACGGTTGAAACATGACCCTAAAATTATCACCAACAGACATCATGATCATGAGAATGGGAAAATTCTATGTACCAACAAGTGTAATTACTATCCCGAGTATATTTCGTTCCCTTTGTCGCATCGCGAGTTTGTCCGTCGGACTCGAGAAATGTCCTTCGGTCAAAGACTACAATACCCCATTATCTCGCATCATGGGATCCCCCCCGGCGATTGAGTCATCCAGGACTAAAACGCCTCTAGACCAGTCAAGGACTAAAGTACATTATTCCCTATGCAAGTGCTGCAATGTTCTGCATTCGGTGACCTCGACCTCATTCGCTCTGAGTCACGCCCCTGTTTCCACTTCCACTTACACTTGCACTTGGGCAGTGCTAGGGGACGCCTATCGAGGCTTGGATCCGCCCAAAGAATCGACGCCAGTTCTCACAGCCTCAGCCCTAAGCTAACCAGGATCAACCACCAGCATCATTCTTCCAAGATCAGTTTTGTTCAGCCTCGCATTGATATCATCAGTGTCAGCACAATAAGTTTGATCAACGTCAAGGATTCATTGGATGCCTCTTCCTTTTGACATGCAGCGGGAACTAACATCGCACAGATGAACCAACCTATGCTTGTCATATCGGGAAGCACAAGGCTTGCACAATGATGCAGAACATGATCAATAGCCGTTGGAAGATGCCAGAAGGTATCTTTCAAAGTATGTAGGACCAAGGGCGCGCGTACGTCATCTCATGTAGACTTGTCAAAAGCGCATTGCAGCGTTACACAACGTGGTGCGAATAGCTTCAGGCCCAAATGACGTTTCCCTTTTGACTTTCCTCGGTATTGAAACGAGAAGTACGGAGTAAACCGAAGTCCCAAGCCATGGACAGATATCCACAGTCTAATTTGTGATTCCCCAGCTCGCGGCACAGTAACATAGACAGGCATTAGCAACAATCCCATTATTCTATTGGTTCATGACAGCCAAAATACCACGCAAGGTACATACAATATAGATTTCAGACTCTTCCGGCACCGAGCGAGTGCTGCCTCTTCCGATAAGAACTAAGTTAGTTAGCTAACGCACGAAACGGCCCCCAAAAACTACCTAGGACGATGTTGCCTTTCTGGCTGCCTCACCGAAAAGATCTTCTGATTTCTCAAAAGAGTTTGCTTCGCAGTTTTTGAATTGTAATCATCTCATGTATCAGCATCTCGATCAAGAACCAATGCATACTATGCATGTACAATGCATCCGTTGAAGAAAAGAAAAAAGGGCTGAGCAAAGGCCTCAAACTTGACCCCATCTCCAAGACCTAGACCAAAGCGGAATGGCGCCTTCCAGCCCTGTAAGGCAGAACCTTGACCCTGGCCCCTCTGCTGTAGCTCGTTCGCTTCTGTGGCACTGCCTCTTCCCTAAGAGCTCAGAGTGAGACCTAGAGAGAGCAGAGTAGGCGCAGCAGCTTTTCATGTTTGGATTGATATACCTCATTCCCTACCTACGGACCATTCCATCATCGCTTTTCCTCTTCCATTCCTTGTTGAACTTTAACTCCGTATTTTTTCTGGTTGCCTCTTCCTTCGAATTTCAGCTTACACACGACCTTCGTTTCTTAATTCCGATGGCCAACTTTGTTCCATTTCGAGTATCTAGAGCGATTGATACGCAGACTCTCCCGTCTTAACTCCAAGCGCCGAACCGAGCTCCCGGGTACGCGACTTTCACTTTGCATCTTCACCAAACGCCCACGTTCGAACGATGATACGATTATCATGATAAAGTTTATCTAAAATGAGTTCCTCTGGCGCCCTGTTTCAGTCTCATTGCAGCTCTTGAATGTGTATCAGATGATTGGTGCTCTGTAACCGTCTCGGTCTTCATTCTGGTCTTACCGAAATAGTTATATACAGAACCAACAACCAACAAAGTGGCGACATTATCAGGCTGTCGATCGACGGCGCGTTTGTGGCCGCATGTTTCATTATCCGCGCGCGGTTAACAGGCAGGCAGATACTGATGGCAAATTCAGTTGCTAATTATGTCGAGGGCAAAGTCTAATTATTAACCCAGGTGTGTTAGTGTTAGTGCAAGTGTCAGCTGTCAGGAACACTCGTGTTGCTATTCTTGGCCCTCGCCTCAGGGTGAGATCACTCCAAGTCTGTGCTATTCAAGTCTAATGTTAGGTTGTTGACAAATTCTCATGGATGATATCTTCATGACAGGTTAAAACTACATTGACTATGCTAGATATCTTAACAGTTAGAGTAGGCAGTTAATGAAACACATCAGTTACATTGTCGATACGCAAACACTTCTCAGCTCCGAACCATCTGTGACTTACACCTTCCAGTCTACCCCGATATCAAAGTAACCCTTCTCAGGCATCTTCAACACCGAACAGCCAACAACCTTTCCACTGGCCACAAAGCCCCCTTGATCAACACCCTCACTCTGAACCCTGTTCCCCCACCAATCCAGCGCAATCCCCGGATGCTGCACCGCAAAGTACATCACTGCGCCAGATATACCAATAGCTGCGCTCATAGAACTCGTCAGCACGTACGCGTACTTCTCCCACCACGCCGCGTACCGCCTCTTGATCACCTTGTTGAACACAAACGCCAGAACTATCGAGCCCTGCATGTAGCTCCAGTTGAACGGTGCCCACGCCATCGGTCCTATGAATAGGATTGGCGCGTTGACGTTGCGCCAGAAGGTGTTGGGCCACCGCTTGGACATGAAATACACGGCTACGGGGACTATGACACCGATGGGGATGGTGTATGTGACGGCTCGGTAGGGGCCTTGGGTGCCGAATAATCGACGTGGTCCGACGACGCCCCATATCACTGAGGACATGAAGAATGTGTGCGTATGGGGACACGTGAAGCGGTCTTTCTGATGCGCTTGACATACATCCTTAATGTTACGGAGTAACTAGTGATTCACGCCCAACCCAACAAAACCTGCCAGAAGCGTCGCATAAACCTGTGCAGCGAACGCCCACCTCGGTGGGATCTTGGCATAGTGCGCGAGCTTGAGATCGCTGGCAAAGTTGAGCGACTGATGTGTCGACATGAAACTGAACATCTGGAAAATCATGTTCGGAATTGGTTGGCCCTCAAACATATAGCCAGAAACAAGCTGGGAGAGGATACGCGTTGAAATCTCCATGTTCGTAACAGCCAAGAGCATCCCAATTGGAATTTGCAACACGACGGTGAAGAGGACAGCTAGGACGATGCCCCATATTGGCATGCCAGTTGGCCACAGACTCACCGAGACACAGGCGATGATGAAAGACGCAACGAGAATGACAGCGTACCACCAGTGAGGACACTCTGGATACGCAGACATAAGACGGTTGTGCACATCATTGAACTCCTCGTCTCGCGACTTCCGTGCCCAACAAGCTCGTAGCCTAGACATGATATCCTTACGGTGCCAGAGGTACATGTGCACGGGTGTAGCAACATATATCATAAAGGCAGCCGCATACTTGATCACCTGAGTGGATGTCATGAGGGGGACACTGTACTCGTGGTACGCGGTCTGATTAAGCGTAAGGTCGGGCAGCAATACGCGCGAGAGGTTGTACCGCAAGCCATGGTTGTCGTAGATGAAGTTGTTGTTGATAGGGAAGTAGCCCGTGTTCCAGACATTCTTGAAGTATACCAATGGCGCGACTATGAAGCCCCATATTGCCATGCCGCTTGCAAAGTTCATAAGTGTGAAGAAAGGTGTTACTATAGGGTCGCCGAGATACGTGGCGACGTTCCAGTCCAGTGTTGGTAAGGGGTTGAAGCCCAAACCGCAGGTTGATCCAGCTATGAGGGCGAGTGTGACGTTTCCTGGTGATATCCAGGTCGGCCAATTGAACAAGTAAAGAGCTTTGAAAAGGTAATTTGGAATCCAGAAGTAGAAGAACATGGAAGTAAAGCAGACCAAGAAGAAATTGTATCGCGACATCTTCCATCCGTGCACTGTATCTTCTGAATGTCCATTGTCCTTGTTCAACGCCTTGGCAAGTGCAATATTTGCCAATGCTTTTGGCCAGATCATCGAGGGCGGGTAAACCAGGAACCTTCGAACCAGACCTGCACATCCATACCCAATGAACTGGGTCGATATGAGCGTGAGGATCTGCCAAGGAATACTATTCGAGAGATTCTTCTCCCCGTAAAAGATATCAAGTTTCAGGACTTGAATGATGCTCACGATGAAGGCTCCAACGGCAGAACCGCCAAACGTTACATTTGCCATCATTGCAATGAGAATCTGCTCCTTTTGGTTGAAAGGTCCAGGATTGAGTGTGAACTCCCACGAAAATATCCGGAACTTCCTTGTCGGCAGCCATCTCGCCAACAGCTTCCCCACAGGTAATGCTAAGATCTGTACAATGAATGTCGAAAGTCCAATAGGAGGCATTCGGAGTGAAAAGAACTGTTCGACCCCAGTGCCAATGATTGCAAATATTGTTCCCAAAAGGAATACCCTGAATGTGCCGACTAGCAAGGTCGGGTCGTCCGTATCATCCACAACAGCTCGGACTTCAGGATAGATGGAGCTATTTAGCATCAATTCCTTCTGAGCCTCGAACTCTCTAGAGATGCTCTGGCCTCGCTCAGCATCTTGCTGCTCGTCATTTTTGTTCTCGAGGTATTTGCGCGCCCGGTTGAGAAGGTCGTCGGGGAAATTCTGGTCATGTTCGTGCTCCTCCACAAGCCTTCTTAGGGTGTCCTTGAGAGGTTCTCTTGGTTCTTGTTGCTCCTTGCTCTCTTGGCTGCTACCGCCGCTTTGCTTCGGCTCGTCGTTGATTCGAGCTGTGATTTCCACAAGAGTAATATCGCCACCTGGAGTGATTGCCTTTGGCTGCTCTAGGGGAGCCATCACATGTATTGTGTAGAACTGCGTCTCCGCAATCCAAAGGATCTTTAAACCTAGATCTTGTCGAATCGAACAGCCGATGGGTAACTAGATTCCAGATAACCTCAAGAGGGGAATGGCATGGAACGTCGAATCCGAGTCTTGCATCGCTTTAGACGAATTAGCTCACGAGATTCTTCGAAACCATCAGCTGGTAGGAGCAGTAGCCTCGGGACAGTTTGGAAGCAGACCCAATGTAGTCGGTATCTATAGATTCAGTAACTCTGTGAAGCATGAACCATAAGCATTGGTGTCAAGCGACAGATAACACGAACCACCTCAAGATAAACCTCAGAGGGCTTGCTGAGTAGCTATGACAGTAAGTTCGGAGTATTCTGAGGGGAAAATGACGAGGGGAATTTGGAAGGGGCGTTTATCTTGAACATGGTTGGTATTTCGGGTTCGATAGTAAAAGCTATAAAAACTTTGAGGCTCAAAGTCAATGAGCGAACAAGCGGTCATCAAGATGTTCTGTATCCCATTCTCCTTCTGTAACCGATTCCGCGTGGGGGTATGGGCAGTTCATCCAAACCGATGAGAAACTTAAACCTCATATGCGCCACAGCCCTCTGTAGTTTCAACAACAGATGTCGTAGCCCTCTTCGTTGGTCTCATCAATTGCTCAGAAAGTTCAACAACAGATTCAATCGTCGTTATTCGGTGACTGTCGAGAGCAATATGACCTGGCCCATCTCTCATAGCTTCGGCGCTGGTATTCATACAGTAACAATGGTGAACCCCCGCTTTCGGCCGAAGGTAAAGTCCATCTGATACCAATGCTCGTGTCGATGCCGTCCAGCATTTCGGTATGGTCTGGCTTGACAGTCGTCCGTGCAGTTTCCGCGCAATATCGAAGAGATGTCGGAGTTCGTGCATGGGCGCTTGCAAACTCCTCGATGTCGCATAGGAAGGTCCAGAAGGATCAGCCGTAGAATAGGTGGTCCAAAGGTTCAAGGTATGACGGCATAGACAGTCGTTACCGGGCCGATCGATGCCACGATCAACTCCGGTGGTCATTCGGGCCCATAATGTCGTCGAAAACCCTCTCGCCATAAAGAAATTCAGTCGTGGTAAACAAATCGGCATGTCTATCGTGCCAAAGCCCAAACACCAAGCGCCGTTGAATGCATAAATGTCGCGTTCCTCGTCTGCCATCAAAACTTCAAATCGTAACACAATAGCACATCATTCAGAGAATCCCCATCTGTCGCCAGGGATCATTTTCTCTTCCTCTCCGACGCTGTCTTCTCCGCGCCGCACGTCTGGCCTCGCCAGTACAATCCACACAACCCCAGACAGCAAAGATTAATCTCCAGCCACTACATTACGGGTATTAGCAACGTGACCTTTCAAAAGAGTGGGATAACTTACACCACGGCGATCAAAGCCCACAGGGCAGCCATGAGCCATTGCTCTTGACGCTTCTGCTCGGCGTTCTTGTCGTCGGTGATGTTGATGTTTGATACCCACATCATAATGATTCCGCCAACACAAAGAGCTAGGGAGAACAAGTCGTGCAGGACTCTTCTAGAGGTAGCTAATCTGGGGACTGTGAATGAAGCATCTGTCACTGCTAGAACCTCCCAGCTATCGTTGAGCATTGCAATTGCACACTAGAGCACGTCAGTTTTGCGTAACCAGAAATTCTGAGGTGAGGGGTTGCTCACACCGACAGCACCAGCGATGATAACCTGACTCTTCGAAGGCCACTCTTTGCCAACAAATGCGAGCATCAGAATTGCAGCGAGGCTGGTAATCCAAGCAATCAATCTCACGCCCGCATGCGTCATGGCATAAGGCCTCGACAGCCTCTGCGGGCGATTACGCCGCACCGGCCGTGAAGGCATGGCTCGCTGAGGGAAAACGAAAAACAAAGTCTCAGCGATGAAGCATTTAAAAGAAAAGGAAAAAGAGAGACACAGCGAGCGTTGTTGATGCTGGAGAGGAAATAAAGTGATGAAGAGAAAGTGGAGGAATGGAGATTCGGGGGTTCAAGGGTCAGGGACGGGAGGGACCAATTGGAGAGGCTGGGGCTAGCCTAGTTGAGGGTAGTAGCCTAGTGCTAGTGGAAGGGAGCTATCGATGTGCCGGGGGCTTTAGCTTTAGAGGGTGGATTTGGATAACTCGGTTTTGCATTCCACGATAGTCTAGAATTGGAATGGGTATCACGATATCGAGAGTTGAAGGAGGAGGAGAGCGTTTGTTTCATCATACGTCAATGCATTCAGTGCAGTATGTATTTGTTAGCCGACTGTCGAGTGGAGGTTTCTGTTTGATCCCCTGGTCTGTCTAGCTAGACCTGGGCCTGTTGCCGTAGCACACCACCAACCACATTCTAACCGCCACCGATTAATCCCTGTCCCTCACTTCACTGCGCTTAACATCAATCATAACATCATCATTATCTATCGACCCTAAATCTAAAACGAATACTCCTCGACATGCAGATATATCCCCTGCGCTCCCGTCCCCTTATGCACAGCTCGCTCATCGCTCAAACGACTCACGCAATTCCTCGTCCGTGCCACTATCTCGCGCCCGCCGCAAACAACCACCCCTGTTTCTCCCCAAGCCTGCTCCACCGGCTCGCGAATCATGGTCTCGATGTCTGGCCTGCACGTGTATTCGCGGATGAGCTCTGGAACAGTGGCGGTTGTCTTCCCGCGGCAGGGAGAGTCGCTTGGACAGCCTTTCTCGTCTGGACCGTTTGCGCTGCAGCAGCATCCTGTCGTTGGTCCCTTGACGGGTTGGATGTCGTCCGAGTCGCTTGTGTTTGAGGACTCTGATCGAGCAAAGACCGGGCCTGTTTGATTGGAGCTTGTTATGGCGATATGGATGCTTACACCGACGCCTTTGGCTCGTACCATTCTGCCGGCCTCTTCGGCCCTTTCGACGTAATACTCGATTTCTTGAGATGTTCTCGCAACGAGGATAATTTCGACTCTTCGTGTGCAATTCGACTTTTGCGCCGCCGCAATGCTTTCGAGTATGGGAACAACGAAGCTGGCTCCAGTTGATGCTCCAATGAGTACCAGTGTTTCGTAAATATTCCACTTCGGAGGAACGCCATATGGCCCTGATACGAAGCCTGTAAGTTCGGACCCCGAATTCTTTGTCGCATATTCGTGCAGTCGTTTGGAGAATCCGTTATGGGCGCGCACAACAAGCTGTATACTGTTGCAGCAGCATGCGCCTTCGAGTTTGTGCGCACATGCGATTGTGTATGGGTGCGCTTCGAAGGGTCCGAGACGTGGGACCCAAAGGTAAATATGCTGTCCTGCCTTCCACTTGAAGTGTACATCCTTGATGGTAACGACAGTCGTGGCTTGTCCAACGGCGCGGGTAACGACTCGATGTCCAAGGTGCTTCATGCCTTGACACTCTGTTCCTTGTGGGCGAAGACGGACATTTTGCCAAAGCAGAAGTACCCATCTCATAGCGCGGTCGAAGACGAGGAACGAAACACTCATCCACAACAGCCATCGAGCATTCGAGGGAATATGCTTGTGGAGTAACCACAGCATGATGATGCTTGTAAGCACATGCTGAGCCACCCAAACCTCATACGAAAGCCTTCGAATGGGAACAATTCCTGTGACGACGTTCCAGAGCAGAATTGCCCAAGCTGCGAGTCCATACTTGACCAGCGGCATAATCTGAAGTGCGTAGTCAAGGAATTCAGCGCGCACCCACATAGTCCAGAAGTGAAAGCCATGAACCGTCGCAGTAACAAACATAGTCCGCGCAATCCATCGATGCAACCAGTTAAGCCTCTCATGACTGCTCCCAATCAAGAATCCGATAACGTTGACCTTTGTCGCCAAAAGGTAGAGGAGCGGGAACTGGGTTAGAGTGACCCATGCGTTGCGATATCCGATGCGCTCCCAGTAATACACATCATTTTTCGAAACCTGCCAGCTCATTATATAGACAATAACGACCCAATAACATGCTAGAACGATGATTCGACCGAGTGGAAGCGGTGTTGCCCATCGAAGGCCATTGACGGGGATGTAATACTGTGGATGGCCCATTTCGCGGACGACGGCGGTTGCTGTCGCCCATGCTTGACTGAGTGCTCCTCGTGGACGTGTTGGATGGTCTATTGATGGATCGCGACATGCTTTTAATCTGGTGAAGTGTCAGTGTGTTTAGCGAGAGGTCGTCAAGCGACGTACCTTTGTTGAGCGTCGAGATGGTTGATGCCGCGAATGGCAGCGAGTGCGCCGACGACACCAGCGATGGTATACCAGTACCCGCGAGCAAAGGCATAGTTGACATCCATCCGCAAGCCGGGGTCATGATGCATGTTACCCATATCCATGATGGGCTATGATGCGCCAGTGGCGCGGGTTCGATGTGACTTGAGTTGGGGAGGTTCAGACGGCCAGCGTCGTGATAGAGCCAATGTATCTCTGGCTCATAGGCAATCCTTTGCTATGATGGTATGGTCTTGCGCTTCAGTTACTCATGTTACCTGCAAGCAAGCCAAGTTTTGTTCGAATGCAAGTGTCCAGTTTCCCTCCGACTGCGTGACAGGTGAGAATGAATGAGCAAGTTGGTATGATGAAACCGCTGACGGTGACTGTATCGAACAAGATGTCAAAGTCACAGGTCGCCGGGTATGAAAGAGCCCGAATGCTGATGTTGGATAAGGTAGTGAAGAAGAGTCAAACCCCGCGGAGTGTGATTGATTGCCAGACGAGACGAAGCGAGGCGAGGCGAGATGCCCATCAGATCGCTTGTATCTGCAACTAACCTCTTTAGATTGGTGCAATCAAGCGATGCGAGCTTGATACTTTGAGGCTACACCCGGCAGTAGAAACGTCGAACAACGGCCAAATTGCGCATAAAATTACCAAAACTCAAACTCTCAACTACCATCTCAATTTTCAAATCTCCCCCAAAACTATATCCGTTCTATCCGTGCATGCCGAGTATCCGAATACTTATCACCATTCATTCATCAAACCTTCTCACGTTGATTCAACTTCTTCATGGTCTGACAAAAAACTCGCTCACTAACACCAGAGAAACTTGCTCAAATAACCTCAGGTCCGTGCACGCTGCCCCTCTGATTGGCTCCTCCGCATGTCAAGGACCCCTGTTTTTCTTCCCCTGCGAGGTCTAGAACTCTTGGGGTAGAGCGGAAAACCTGCTCACCACTAACACGGCATTTGGCGATGGAGGCTTACACTGCTAGACTCTGCGGTGGAAAAGTCTCTGCGCCGTTGCAAAATTGACTTTTTATGAGGCTTTGGGTGTTTTGGATGCACGTTTGATGGGGAATTGGCGTGAATTGCTTCAGGCTAGTGAAGATGGCTTGCATTGATGGGAGGGTTCATCATGGGAGCACAGAGCCTCAATGACGTAGCTTTCATGATGGGGAGTTTGCAGATGCTGCGTATTCATGCTGTGGAACTGGAAGTATGTGTAACTTGAGTTGATATAAGGTCTGACTACCAACGAGTCGAAAATGTTATTGCCTTGAAGTATTTGAGTTAAATGATCCCAATAGAAGGTCATTTCTCACAACGGGCTGATATCCAACACGGTAACATACACACCTTGTTAGCGAAACACAGCTCACACTAGCTCAGCCTCTCCCTAATCCCCTTGCCGATATCCGCAACTCCTACAAAAGCAGCGGCTCAGCCGCCCACCAACTCCAACCCAGCACAGCTCACCCAAACCACACACTCACAACACACTCCCCAAAACACCAACATCAAGATGCGCTCCTCTACTCTCCTCTCAACCGCTCTCCTCTGCGGCATCTCCCTCGCCCACTTCGAGGTCAAGTATCCCGAGACCATCGGTTTCAAGGACGACAACGAGGGCGAGTCTCCCTGCGGCGGCTTCACGCCCGACCTCTCCAAGGACAAGCTCGTCGACTTCCACGTCGGCGGCGAGGCTATCGCTCTGCTGTCGACGCATCAGCAGGGCAATTGGCTCTTCCGCGTGACGCTCAATGAGAAGGCCGATGGCGATTGGGAGCAGGTCTTTCCTATTGTTCAGCAGAGCGGTCTCGGTGCCTTTTGCCAGCCGCAGGTCACTGTTCCTGAGAAATACGCTGGTAAGAAGGGTTGGGTCAACGTTGTATCCTCTGCCGTCGACGGTCTTCTCTACCAGGTATGTCCTTGCTCTAAATCTCTTAGGTCTAATGCTAATAAAGTTCAGTGCATCGCTGCCAACTTCGTCAAGGGCAAGGCCGATCCTCCCAGCGACTGCAAGAACGCAACCTCGGTGAAGGCCTCATTCGTCGACGACGACAAACTCTCCGCGCTCGTGAGCAACGACTCCAAGGCCGACTCCTCATCGAGCGGCACCGCTTCAGGCACTGCTACCAGCACCGGCTCAGCTGCATCCTCAACAACGAGCGACAACGCTGTCGCTGCGCTGCAGGCCTGGTCAGCCAACGGCGTCGGCATGATAACTCTAATGACCATTGCGGTTGCAGGAGGAGCTCTACTTGTTTAAGAAAGGAAAAAAGGACATTGGTTGAGAGCGTTGTATTTTTAATCACACACAAGCAGAACAGATCAGGACGAAACAATTCATTTTCACTGTGCCTCTGAGGTGCAGATCACCAACAACATCGTTGAGTCGAGTTTGATGAATCCTACGTTAACATCCAACCCCCTCTGCTCCCTGCTCCCCCCCATGCTCAATGATCAGCGAATATCTGTACCAAGCCGTATCCGGAGAAATACTCCACGCTCAACAGCGAACATCTTTTCTCCACTAGCATCTCATTGGACATCCAAGGGTCTCTGATCTGATGTCGACAGCGACTGGGACGGAAAATCCATATTCACCGCCAGCGTCTCTTCTCTCGCTCTGCCATTGATACACCAATGTCCCATTGTAACATCTGATTCATATGAATTGTTTCATCTCTGTGCAGTGAGCCAATGGCTTATAATTCGTCGTTTTATGTGTGTTGTGCTCTCTTTTCTCATCAGTAACGCCCTGCCAATAAACTTTTTCCTCATGTGTGAATCGTCCCAGCTCCCGGACATAGCATAGCATAACAAACGCCCAATTTGTATGTTTTTCACGTCTCTATTGTTGTACAGAAAGCGTTTGCTTTATTATGCCTCCGATTTCCCAAGCCATTGTACATCTACCAAGCCATTTTCGCACCCATTGACATCTTTACCACCATTTACCACGCTTTCAGTTTCCGTTTATTACATTACATCCTACTTCTCGGCGTTTATCTCCAAAGCTTGATGAGCTAAGAACCTTATTCAGTTGATATACCTTGAAACTCTGGCTATTTGCCAGTATGGCTGCTGTAGATCTCTACCACGCCAGCTTCTCGAAGCAGCTCTTCAACTACATACCCACAGACCAACCGTTGTACTCAACATGGGGTACATCATGGCCGAAGCGCGAAATGGGCGTTATGCTCAGTCTTGATATAGCTTCATGTTCGATACTTTTGCTATACCTCTGCCGGACACCGTTGTCACGGTTTACCCCCCGCTGGTTACAACCTTTTGCAGAAGAACCGCCACCGTTTCATCCCAAGAAGAGAAAATGGACTTTCTGGACTTTATGTCTTCTGCTCATTGCCTTGCTTGGGCTGGGGTTGGCGATTAGTTCTGCTATTGTTCATTCTCATCACAAAGCTTCGTCAATGGAGCTTGTGCCATGGACTGTCGTGGCCTTGGTCACGGTTCTGGATAGACCCGTCCAAGCTCCCAAGTTATTGATGCTGCAGTATTTTCTCATAATGGCAACGACTCTAGCCCTCAGAGCGATCTACTACCTCAGCTTCAAGGCCAACTCGATCAACCGCTTCGACATTGGACATCTCACCCTTGAAATCCTGGCGATTCTGGTCATCATGAACATGCCCCTCCGAAACCCATTCTGGGGCTCCTCAGATATCGGAAACGCCAAAGCCGCTCCATCAAACCATGTCCGAAGTCCGGAAGACAACCTCACCCTCTTCCAATTTTGGACCATGAGATGGGTAAACCCGCTATCAGAAATCGCACAAAAACGAGAAATCGCCATCGAAGACGTCTGGCAGCTGCCTTATGAGTTTCAGCACTGGAGATTGCACCAGGTATTCCGAACGCTCAAGGGCAAGCTTCTCCCATGCCTCATCGAAGCAAACGGCCTGGATCTTCTCATCGGCACATTCGCAGCTATTCTGGAACGAGTCGCTGAAGTTTCTAATCTTCGTCTCACGAGCAAGCTCTATCAATCTCTCGACATGAACGACCCTGCGGAAGCTGGCCTCTGGTGTGTCGTTATCCTCAGCATCGACACTATCCGCCAAATCGCGAGGACATCTTCGGGATGGTACTCCCGCAAGGCCTACGAACGAAGTCGCGGCGAGACATTCATCGGTCTATTCAGCAAACTCCTCACAAGAGCTGTCCCAGGATCCGAAATGACAGAGAAAGATCCCTCAGCAGGTACTCAACAGAGCAACACTTCTTCAAACCGCGTTAGCAGGTTCTTCAACAAATGCTGCGGCCGAAACAAGTCCAGACCAGCAGAGAAACCAGCGCCAGACCATCAAGCCTCAAACGCAAAGGTAGTCAACCTAATCCGTGGCGATACCTATGAGATATCCCAGCGATTCTGGGAGTTCCCTCGCGTCGTCGCAACGCCCATCAAAGTCATCGTCACGATCTACTACCTCATCGACATCATGGGCTGGCCATCTTGCGTTGGCTTCGGATTCATGGTCATCTTCCTCATCTGCAACTCCCTCCTCGTTCGTCAAGTCATTAAGCTTGAACGTCAACGGACGGGACATTCTGATCGGAGGGCTCAGGCTGTTGCGCATTTCGTAGAGGCTAGTCGCCCGCTTAAGCTCAATGGCTGGACATCCTCGTGGAAAGATCGAATTCTGAGGTTCAGAGATGTCGAGATGAGGAAGCGGTTTCATATTTCTATGGTCAACGCTACCATCTCCACGATCAATGTCTTTGGAGGCGCAGTCTATCCGTTTGCGAGTATCTGCTTATACACACTCATCCTCGGACGCGGTCTTCCCAACGACGTCATCTGGCCTTCACTACAACTCTTTGCACAACTCGAGGCCAGTACCCGCGAAGCCTTCGATCTTATCTCTGCAGTCTGGAAGTGCACTATCCCCGTTGAGCGCGTCAACAAATACATGTCCGAACCCGACCGAGACGAAGACGCCTTCAGCGCCTGTGAGCCGCGAGACATCGAATTCCACAAAGCAAGTTTCGCACGCCCCGCTACAGATCATCTTGTTCTTCACGACTTGACCCTCAAGTTCTCAACGGGTCTGACTGTTGTGCGCGGTAAAGTTGGCTCAGGTAAATCCAGTTTATTGCTTGCGATCCTCAACGAGCTGGAACACAAGAGCGGTTACTTCTCAAGAGCTGATGAACCAATCTCGTATGCGCAGCAGCTTCCGTGGTTGCAGAATAAGAGCATCAGAGATAACATTACCTTTCATGAATCGTTCGATAGTGACAGGTATCGAGAAGTCATTAGTGCTTGTGCGCTGATCCCTGACTTCGCAACGTTTCCTATGGGTGATCAAACGAAGCTCGAGGAGGGTGGTATTGGACTCTCTGGCGGTCAAAAAGCTCGTGTGGCACTGGCGAGGGCGGTCTATAGCAGCTGTCGAATTGTCCTCCTGGATGATCCTCTTGCTGCCCTAGATCACGATACAGCGAGTTACATTGTTCAACGTTTCCTCTGCGGACCCCTGGCCAAGACCCGAACAATTGTCCTCGTTACACATCGCGATGATCTCGTTCTTCGACACGCTGATCAAGTTATCGACATCAACGATGGTTACGCCCATGTCCTTACTCCAACAGAACTCAAAGAAGAACTCGACCACCCTCATCTCTCCAACTCTGGTCCAACTGAAGTTCAACCTCACGAAATGTCTAATGAGCAAGTATCCGAAGAACCCCCAAACGACAAGGGTCTTCCTGAAGAAGTCACCGAGACAGGGGCTATTCCTATTGGCATCTATCTTAGGTACATGGGTGCAGGAGGATGGCACCTGTGGGTATTTCTATCTTTGTTCTATGGACTATCACGATACTGTGACATTGCGCGAGCACGACTCCTCGAAGCATGGGGCCATGAATCTGCAAACTTCGAGACGCTCATCGAAAGCGAATATTGGGGCCTGCCAAATCCTAACCAAAACCCTCGGCCCTGGCTCTACGTTCTCGCAGGTCTATCAATCGCCCAGATCCTCTCATACGCCTCCGCCCAAGTCCTCCTCGCTTCGATCAGCATCCGAGCAGCTCAACGACTCTTCAGAATCGCCATCGACAGAGTCAGCAAGGCGTCGTTCCGGTACCACGATATCACACCGACAGGCCAACTCAAGAACCGTCTCATCTCCGACATGGGCATGGTCGATGGTGGAATTCTCGCACCCCTCGAACAATTCGTGTTTAACCTGGTCGCTCTCTCGCTGAGTCTCTTCGCCATCATGACACACCAGATCTTCCTCGTAGCGGTTATCTTTGTTGTCGCTCTTCTATTCGCGTACTTCTATCGTATATACGTCCCCGCCTCACGCTGTCTTCGCCGAATGGAGATGCGATATCTGACTCCCATCATCGCCAACATTGGAGTCATGCAGGATGGTCTTGTAACCATTCGTGCTCTCAAGGCTGAAAGCCGCTTTCAGAATAAGCACTTGGAAGCGGTTGACGACTTCCAAAAGCACGATCACTTCTTCTGGAGTATGACGTTCTGGCTCGACTTTAGACTCGGTATGTCTTCAGCCATCATGCGAACCATCCTCGTTCTCTCCATGGTATATATGGGCACACCAGCTAGTGCAGTCGGTTTTGTTCTGACTCAAACCAATATTGCAATGATTGCTGTTCAACAGCTATGTGAGAAGTTTGCGGCTCTTCAGCTCGATGCTGTGTCGCTCGAACGAGTTGATGCTCTCAACCGTATCCCGGAAGAACCCAGCGGCGATATCGAGCCTCCGCAAGACTGGCCCAGACCGTGCGATAGTGTATGTTTCCGGGATATGTCATTCAAGTACGCCGATGACCTCCCCTCGGTGCTGGACAACGTATCATTTGAGATTCCTGGTGGTTCAACATGCGCAGTTCTCGGTCGAACAGGCTCCGGGAAGTCCACCATCGCAAACGCTCTCCTGGTCACACAAGCGCCGTGCTCGGGCGCCGTCTCCATCGGGAGCATCGACCTCGCCCACATCAACCGTACAGCCCTCCGTAATCGAGTGACGTTCATCCAACAAGATCCAATCCTCTTCCCAGGCACACTACACGACAACATCGACCCAGAAGCCAAGTTCTCCGACCAAGATTGCACAAACGCAATCCATCGCGTTCTCGGTACCGACTGGGGTTTAGAAACCCGCATCGACGCAGGTGGAAAGAACCTCAGTCAGGGGCAGAGACAACTCGTGGGTATATGTCGAGCTGTATTGCGACGAAGTGGCCTTGTTATCCTCGATGAAGCGACGGCGT